AGGACTGGACAACCCGGCCAACGAAAAAGCCCTGGTACCCTCGAGAAGAGGAAAGCCCAGGTGGAGTCTGATGAGACCAACTTTGTTCCTGAAGCCTACATCGACCGGATGCCACCGGTTCGCTCTGATCCTGTATGGAGTATTTCAACAAAGCCAGCTAAAAATTGCTGTTTAGTTATTCTGCCCTGTGATTTTATGCAAAAATAGGAAAAATGGTTTAAAAGTGATTTAGTTTGCAAACTTTTGCTATGCTGTTAAAAGTTTGAGATCAAGGTTGAGAAAATTTGTGTTTTACATTAGTTGAACCATTTTAAGATTTTTTCCTGTGATTTTGACGTATTTGCTGTCTTGTTTTGGCTAATGCCTCCAGATGTTTTTTTTTTTTTGGCTGGGACTGATGAATTGTTTTTCCAGGAATGGAGGACTTTTGCTTTCCACAATGGACAATACCTGGAGGGACTGGTTTTCTTTCACACTGGAACCTGGTAAAAAATTTTCATCTGAGACTGCATCCCAACATCCATATATTCGATCTTCATCACCATGGAAATGGTAGCAAAAAGTGAAGGGGGGGAATTGTTAGGGGGAACAGGATGTCCTAAAGCTAATCCCATACAGGCTTTGTGGACTCCACCCCCACCCCAGGTCAAAGCCAAAGACACTGGGAACTCCAAATCCCATCACCACCAAAGGGAAGGTGGCTGGGACCTGAGGGTGGGGTTAAGCAGCCAGATTGGTATAAAGCCAGACACGTGGGCTTTGGAGGGGCTCCCCCCATTTTGGCTCTCCGCCAGCTCGCAGCATTTGGACAGCTCAGAGAGTGTCTTTGGGTTTCCAGGTCGGCGGATTGGGTAGGATGCATTAAAGACTTTATTTCCCTATTTTCTGCCTGAGTTGTACATTTTCCTTATTTCCTTTTCCCTTGTGAATAAACCTTTTATTAACCTTTTGTGTGTGCCTGTAGTGGAGTATTAATAAGTCCCTTTTAAGCACGCGGGTGAGGACCCACAGCCAGGCAACCCATTTTTATATTGGGGTTGCCCTATAACAAGACCTTATGGGACTACCCAGGTCTGAGACCTCATGCATGAGTAATAAAGCTTTCCTGGCCTCACCATTCCTAAAGTAATGCTTGTTCTTCCCCTGCCTTTGTAAAAGGCTAGATTATTTCTGCAACAAGAGCATTCACCAGAGTCAGAGTGGGGAACAGAACAGGCAGAATGACTGAAACACACTGCTGAGGGGAGCAGCGGGCGAGTCAGGAGAGGTCTGCTGCACCACGTGGGTCACCTCCCTGGCCTGGGATCGAATTTGTGCCGCAGTGGCTGTGGATAGCTTCATAGGTTGTCTTAACCCCTTGCGCCACCAGGGAGGCCCTGTTTTGTGTTGATTTTAATTGGGATCTGGAATTTCAGTCAATGTTTCTTCATAAGATTTGTAAGATGTTTGACCATTACTTAATATAATATTTTTTTCTGCCTTATTTTTATGCTTTTATCCTTCTACATCCCTCACTACATGTGTTAGTCTGTTTGATGCTGTTTCATAAGAACTTGAGACTGTTCTTTTGTAACAGGGTGGTCCCCAGGAAAGGGGGAGGTTCCAGGTTCCCTGCCCCACCCAAATGGAGGGTGGAGCTGAGCAGGAAGAGATGAAGCTGCAGAGGAGACTGAAGAAGGAAGGAAGCAGGATGGAGCCAGAAGGAGACCTGGAGGAGGCACGTGGAGCCGAGAGACATGTGAAGAAACTGCTTGCCTTTGATCGTGGACGGGGTGACACAGATGTGGGTGAGACCCGTGGGGAGGTGACAATGGCAGCTTTTATCTTGATTTTGATTTTGCTCTTTTCCTTCCAGACTTGTCTGGTTGTTTCTGATGCTTTTCTGTGGGTCCCCACTGGAAGACCTGTGGCAGGCTTCGAGGCCTTGCCCTGGGCCAATCCTGCTTGGATGGACTTTTACCCACGAGGGGGCGGGTAACTTTGGATGCTTGATTTAGAAACTAGATTCTTTGCCTTTCCTGTATTGTTTCCTAATTGTATTAAAGTTCCTTCCCATTAAAGTCTCATGTTTTGCGTTGATGCGGCAGATGGCAGAACCCATTTAAAGCAGGCAGGTTTGCGGGGTTTGGAGTGCCCCTCTCCCTGCCCTGTAACACTTTCACTTTTTCTCTCATCAGATGGGTGATTTGATATTTTCAAGTTCACTACACATTTTTCTCTGACACATTTTTCTCTAACTGCAGTTAAATATAAATTTCTCTTGTTATTTTCTTTACTAACAATTTCAGTTTCCTTTGTACTTCCCATTTCTTTGTGGAGATTCCCTATGACTTCACCCTTTAAGATGACATTTTCTTGGGGCCTCCCCGGTGGCACAGCGGTTGAGCGCTGGGTTGCGAAGCTGCCCGCAGCCTCTGCGGCGCCGGTTCGATCCCCGGCTGCTCCCAGGCCACTGGAGGAGGGTCCCACATGGCGCGCAGACCTCTCCTGCCGCCCGCTGCTCCCCTCAGCAGTGTACCTTGTCAGTCTGTCTGCTCTGCTCCCCGCTCTGGCTCTGGTGAATTCTCTCACCCTCTGGCGCTTCTGACTGTACCCAGTGCTTACATAAATAAATAAATAAATCTTTAAAAAAAAAAAAAAAAAGATGACATTTTCTTAAATCCTTGAAGCAGCACTGTTAAGGAGCAGCCCCGATATACAAACGGGGTGCCTGTGGGTCCTCACCCGCGCGCTTAAAAGGGACTTATTAATACTCCACTACAGGCACACACAAAAGGTTAATAAAAGGTTTATTTACAAGGGAAAAGGAAATGAGGAAAATGTACAACTCAGGCAGAAAATAGGGAAATAAAGTCTTTAATGCGTCCTACCAGATCCGCCGACCTGGAAACCCAAAGGCACTCTCAGAGCTGGCCTGACACTGCGAGCTGGCGGAGAGCCAAAATGGGGGGAGCCCCTCCAAAGCCCACGTGTCTGGCTTTATACCAACCTGGCTGCTTAACCCCACCCTCAGGTCCCAGCCACCTTCCCTTTGGTGGTGATGGGATTTGGAGTTCCCAGTGTCTTTGGCTTTGGCCTGGGGTGGGGGTGGAGTCCACAAAGCCTGTATGGAATTAGCTTTAGGACATCCTTTTCCCCCTTAACAGCACGAATAGCTGCTTTTAAAGTTTTTGCAAAATTCAATACCTGGGCTATGTGAAGTTTTTCTTTACTGCTTTTTTTCCCTTTACTATGGGACTCATTTTCCTGTTTTTCATATGCAATTTTTTGCTATACCACATTATAAAAAAGAATCTGCATTTTATCTTTCTCTGAGTATTGTTCCAGGAGGCATTTTGATTACTGGTTTATTAAACAGTATTTACCTAGGCTTGGTTTTATTTACCTAGGCTTGGTTTTATGCTTTGTTAGAATAATCTATGGAAAACCCAAGGTGTTTCTTCAATCCCTTCTAATCTGGTAAATGGTCACCCTTGTGGATCTTGTTGGGACTTCAGTCTATATTCTAGGATGCGGACACTTGTTTATAATATGAGAGCAGAAATAAGGCAGCACCACTTTGTCCCCCCTTAGCTGAAACATACATGTTAGGTGATTTAATTTTTTTTAACTTGCATGTGTCTGAGAATGACCAGAAAAATGCAGTAAGTATGGACTTTGGAAGTTACAGATAAACTTTAGCAAGTAAGCAAATTTGCACATAAGGATTTCATGAATAATGAAGATCAATTCTGTATATAGTTTGTATAATGAAACCAGGTTGCAAAATAAAAACATTTTAGTGCTTTAAAGAGGTTGTGTTTATAAACTATTTTGATAGAAATTTTCCCTATATATGTTTCCTAAACAAGATATAAACAAGATAACTTATCTTCCTGACTCAGCACATCATTAAAGTAATGCTAAAAGCCAATGACACCTTTTAGACTTTATATAAACATATGCTCTTAGATGTTCCAGCTGGAAACAATTCTTGAAGCTCGTTTTTTCTTTCTTTTATTTTTTATCTGTTTTTTAAAAAAATTATTTATTTATTTTAAAGATTTATTTATTTATGCATACAAGAACTGGGGTAGAGGCCAGAGGTGTGTGTGAGAGGATCCACCAGAGACAGAGTGGGGAACAGAACAGGAGGATTGACTGAAATACACTGCTGAGGGGAACAGCAGGCTAGGCAGCAGAGGTCTGCTGCACCATATGGGAAGCTCCCTGGCTGGGGATTGAACTCATGCTGCAGTGGCTGCAGACAGCTTCATAGATTGTGTCTTAACCCCTTGTGCCACCAGGGAGGCCCTGATTTTTTATTTTTTTATTTTTTAAGATTTATTTATGCATGCATGCAAGAGCTGGGGTACAGACCAGAGGTGTGGGGGGTAAGAGGATTCACCAGCGACAGAGTGGGAAACAGGACAGGCAGAATGACTGAAATATACTGCTGAGGGGAGCAGTGGGTGAGTCAGGAGAGGTCTGCTGCGCCATATGGGTTGCTCTCTGGCCGGGGATTGAACTCGTGCTGCAGTGGCTGTGGATAGCTTCATAGGTCGTGTCTTAATCCTTGTGCCACCAGGGAGGCCCTGGTTTTTAATTTTTAAATAGCTTAATGTACTTTAGCTGCAAGATCTCAAGAAATTAAGTAAACTTGATGAGTCTCAGCTTTCTCATTTATAAAATGAACAAAATGCATTTCTAAAGTTCTCCAAAGCCAAAATTCTATCTATTTTGGTTGCCAGTGGTTTAGCCTCTAGATGCAATCTTCTCTTAACTTTCTCTTTCTGATCTGTGTTTTGAAGAAACCAGAAAACCAACTCCTATTATGTCAGTTGTATTTTCTAACAAATGTAGTAACAACAATTCACAGGATACTACTAAACTAAATATCTCATCAATGACATCTACATGTAGTAAAGCAAGATAAAAGCATCTTTCCTAGGGTCTTCACCTGTTTGGGACAACAGAAAATACACATAATTTGAAAAGAAGTAGAAAGCCTTAAAAGCAGACAAGTTTATTTTGGCTTATTTTCTTTATTGAATTAAAATTATACTACGTATAAAATAGTAACGTGTATACAGAGGGATTTAAGACATCATATATATATACACAATTATCTTTTAAAAGGTCAAGACGCAAGTTACAGTGATTACGAATATATAATGTATATTAAAATACTGTCCATAAGTAATTTATTTGGCTGTTTTAGTTCGAAGCTTTCGTTTGAGAATCTGATGATCACTTTCTTTTACTTTCTGGTCAATCACAATCTGAAATTAACACAATTTATACAAATTATAAATGAATTTTTTTATATCAATATATGTTCATGTGCTTAATATCTGAAAAAATTGCATTATAAGATTTTTTTGTCCTCTAAGACCACAGGTATAGTGTCTTCTATATAAAAGCATACCCTTAGTAAAGATTCTTTCAAACTACCTCATTCTACAACGAATAATCCACATTCTATACTGAATTAAATACATGTATAGCTTAAAATAATTACCAAGATATTTGGAGACAAGTATCTCAAATGATCTTTTGCAGCAACAAATACCTAGCTTTTTCCTTTAATTCTTTTCTATCTTTATTTTGACCTACTAGGTAATGTAAGAATGATAGAAAATTAAATCTCTCCCTGTAAAAGCATAGTTTATTCTGAATAAGGAGAATGAGTCATAAGAGGTAGGGTAACAAACAACAGTATTTTCTTAATAGAACCTGGAAAGTTTAGAGGAAAGGTAAGAGGAAACAACTGAATGCCTACATTTTCACCAGACACACTGAGGCCCAGATTTTCACAATTCTTGTGATAACAATATAAATAGGTATTGGAAATACATGCATATCTAAATATTAATTCCACTGATGGAATCAAAATTCCTCCGATGAATCACAAATATAAGTGCATATAGCACTTTTATACATTAATGCATCACTTATATTTAATCACTATAAATTTAACACATCAGATGTCAAAAGTATAGCACTTAAACATGGTTTAAGAGATTTGATCTAAAGAATAAAAATTCAAAACATTATGGAATTCAAATTGATATGAATACTTTAGAATTAAAAACAAGGGCATTTTTACATTTAAGAAAAGTGAAATAGTAGCTTACCACTTGGCCAGATATATCAATAGGAGAAGAAATTTCATTTGTGTATAATTTCCGTTTGGTCCGTTTTGGCCGAGACACATTTTCTTTACTTAGTTCTACATTTGAGGGCTTTGAAGAACTCATTGTTTCAATGATTTTCTTTGCTAGTAAAATAAAAAACACTAGTTAATTCCTGAACTAATTTTCTAACTGCAAAGCCTCCCTGGTAGTGCAAGAGGTTAAGATACAACCTATGAAGCTATCTGCAGCCACTGCAGCACGAGTTTGATCCCTGCCCAGGGAGCTACCCACATGGCACAGCAGACCTCTCCTGACTCATCCGCTGTTCCCCTTAGCAGTTTATTTCAGTCAATCCTGCTGTTCTGTTCCCCATTCTGTCTCTGGTGAATTCTCTTACTCCTCACACCTCTGTCCTGTACCAGGGTTCTTGGATGCTTGGGTAGTTCCCTGGCCCAGCCAAGGATTGAACTTGTAAGAAAAGAGTTGAGTCTACCAAGTTAAGGGAGGCATTACAGTACGAGTACCTCCCTTTCCTTGAAAACACATTTTCTTTTAATACAGATGTGACAGGGGCCTTCCCGGTGGTGCAGCGGGTTGAGCAGTCTCTGCGGCGCGGGTTCGATTCCCGGCCAGGGAAAGACCCACATGGCGCAGCGGACCTCTCGGACCTCTCCTGCTTGCCCCTTGCTTCCCTTCAGCGGTGTCCTCGGTCCGTCTGCCTGTTCTGCTCCCTGCTCTGTCTCTGGTGGATTCTCTCGCCCTCCCGCGCCTCTGACTGTGCCCCAGTCTTTGTATTGATAAATAAATCTTTAAAGAAATATAAATATAGTTGTAATAGATATAAATAAATTACATAAATGTAAATAAATATATTTGTAATAAAATACGTAAGACTTTAAAATCATTAAGTTTCTCATCAAATTTAGACATTACCAGTTTGCTGTCTGTCCCTCTACATATTCATTTATTCATCTCTCTCTCTCTCTCTCTATTCATTTTAAAAGATTTATTTATTTATTTATACAAGCACTGGGTACAGTCAGAGGTGCAGGAGGGTGAGAGAATTCACCAGAGCCAGAGCGGAGAGTAGAACAGGCAGAGTGACAAGTACACTGCTCAGGGGAGCAGCGGGCAGCAAGAGAGATCTGTGCGCCATGTGGGACCCTTGCCCGGTGGCCGGGGATCGAACTGGTGCTGCAGGGGCTGCGGGCAGCTTCGCAACCCAGCGCTCAACTGCTGTGCCACCGGGGAGGCCCCCCTCTAAATATTTATTACACTTCACAAACTATACATTAAAAAATGTTAATAATTAAAAAAATATATATAGATGGATCTGATAGGTGTGAAATTCCCAAACTGTGCACTAAGACATGCCACAATAAGTTCACAGGAGCACCTTGAGACATTTTACATTTTTGAGGAAAAAGGTGACACTGGAGAGCTCAAGGCAGTTGTGCTGAAATATGCATTTATTACATTCCTTTTGATGATGACATTTCTTTGTAACCTGGTTTTCAGAAGCTGAATTTTCAGCAGTTGTTTGACCTTAAGTAATGGAGACGACTTTAGGTGTTTCTTTGGGTGCAATGACACAATGAAAACAATCACTGAATATGAAAAGCACTTTAAACCAAGAAAAACTTCTGGGTAAGTTTTTACAGAATTTTTATACAACCTATTTGACTTAATACAAATGTCCCTGCTTTCAGTCTCTCTTCCTTCTCATTCTTCCCATATCTGGTCTTAAATACATTCTGTTGCTATAAACTCAGGCAATCTCACAAAAACCCACTGCTACACCTGCCTCCACCCTCAAATAATTATCTTCAAATTCTACACATCAGATGTATATTGCTACCTGAAACTGACTGAACATTCTTTACAATTTCCTGATCCTCTACCTGTGCTAAAAATCATTCCCTCTAGAGTGTGTGTACCCATGAATGTTATATGTACATCTCTATATAGTATATATCTTAACATACACTAATACATGGTATTAATGTCTACATATTTAAAAAGAAAATAGCATTACACATACTATATTTTCAACCAAGTTCAACAGATATTTATAGAAGTATGTTTTTCACATAAATGAATAGGCAATGTTTTTATGCATAGAGAAAAACACTGAGAGAATATATACCATAAGACCAATAGTGATTATCTGCAGAAGATATAATCTTGCCAACATTTAGAACCCAAGTTAAACCCTACCTATTCTGGAAATTCTCCCTAAGGTCCCATAATCAGCATATCCCTTTTCTCTCCAACACTACCATGGCACTTTGATGTATGTGCTATTACATTAAGCAGTCTGCTCTGGATCAATTACTTAAATGAAGATCTTTATCCTCCACTCCAAAGTGAACATCTAGGCATAGTGATCCTTTCATCTTTCTTCCCAAAGTACTTATTATAGGACAATGCCTGTTTGAAGTGTAATAATCAGTAGCTGAGTTTATATACTCATAAGATATTATTAGAAAACACCTTACACCTAACATAAAATGTCATTTAATTAATCTGCAAACCTTTTGATTGAAGAATTGTTGGAGAATGTTGTAAGAAGTCTCCAAATTTCTGTAGTGTTCCTTCTTTTTTCTTAGCTGCCATATTTATACTAATCGTGGATGCCTGACTCCGTAAAGAATACGTTTTCTTAGAAGACGGACGTGTGAAAACCTGATAAACAAATATTTTGTGTTATTGCTGATGAGAAATGTTAGAAGGAAATACTTACTGACACAGGTGAGTTAAAAAGGCCAGAGATAGGTTGCGAGTTCTCAGGCAGGGAAAGTGTGATTAAGCACGTGAGGAAAGGGATAAAGGGGCCAGAAAATGGCAAAATGAGTGTGACAGGTGGAGTACTATCAGTTGGTCAGCAGTGAACAAACACATCAATAAGTGCCTGCTACTAGCCAAATGCTAGAGATTTCATTTCATCAAGCCGAGTTAGATCAATAGGAAATGAAAGCAAAAAAGTTATAATTGGACAGAACTGGATTTCTGGGTAATTACTAATCAAATTTGATATCTTTATTTTTTCATCTTCAACTTTTAAATATGAAGCATGAAAAAGGGTCAATTTTAATCCAATTAAAAGACAAACCTTTTGTTCCTTTTTGACAGAAGAATTTCCATGCTCAGGAATAGGGGATTTCAAATTAGTTCTAGGTGTAGCATTCTTCTTATTTTCACATTTCACCAAATCCTGAAAGTAATGAATTTTAGTTAGCATTGGTTAATTTCTTGACAGCATTTTTATCACTAGACTTAAAACAAAATGATAGTTCTTAGTTGGGATGATTTTAACCTCAGGAAACAATGCCTGGAGGTAGTCTGGTTGTCGTTGCTGGGTGGAAAAGGGATGTTATTTGCAACTGGGGGATAAAGGCAAGGAATGCTGCTAAATACCCCTACAACACTCAGGAGAGAGCCTTCTAAAAACAAAGTATCTGACCCAAAATTTCAACTGTGCTGAAATTGATAAACCCTAACTGAAGACATAAATTCCACACCCCCCCTCATTTTTATTGAGATGTTACTGACAAGTAACATATATAAAGTTTAAAGTATACAACATGATGATGTAATATGCATCTATAGTGAAATGACTGAAGCTTTTTTACACATATCATAAGTAATGAAATTACATGAGATAGATGAAAAACTGAAGGGATAGTATCTGTTACTCGAATCCCATCATTAAAACACAGCATTGGGCCTCCCCGGTGGCGCAGCGGTTGAGCGCTGGGTTGCGAAGCTGCCGGCGACCTCTGCGGTGCCGGTTCGATTCCCGGCTGTATCCCCGGCTGCTCCCCGGCCACCGGAAGAGGGTCCCACATGGCGCGCAGACCTCTCCTGCCGCCCGCTGCTCCCCTCAGCAGTGTGCTTCGGTCCTTCTGCCTGCTCTGCTCTCCGCTCTGGCTCTGGTGAATTCTCTCACCCTCCCGTGCTTCTGACTGTACCCAGTGCTTGTATAAATAAATAAATAAATCTTTAAAAAAAAAAAAAAATCTCTAAATTCTTTATTACTGAAAGGAAGAAAATGAGGATCAGAAAGTTTTGTGACTACATGGATAAGATATGGTAGAAGGTTTGGTGTACCTACAATTAGAAAACTACAGAAAGAAATGAACAGTGCTTTTTCTTTTTTTAAAGATTTATTTATTTATTTATACAAGCACTGGGTACAGTCAGAAGTGCGGGAGGGTGAGAGAATTCACCAGAGCCAAAGTGGGGAACAGAACAGGCAGACTGACGAAATTCACTGCTGAGGGGAGCAGTGGGCACGGCAGGAGAGGTCTGCGTGCCATGTGGGACCCTCGCCCGGTGGTCAGGGATCAAACCAGCGCTGAGGAGGCTGTGGGCAGCTTTGCAGCCCAGTGCTCAACCGCTGCACCACCGGGGAGGCCCAGCAGTGTTTAGTCTACCACTAAATAGAGGCCCCAATTTTAATACTGGCTGACAGAAAAGGAATATTTCTCTTCTAAAATCTGTTACCACCATAAAGACCTTAGTTTTTAGTTAAATGACAAAGATTATGCTAAACCAAAGTTAGTCATTTCAGTTTCTCTAATTTCTTTATCATTCCTTATCTCTCCTATTGGAGGGAAAGGGACTAGTTTTTTTTTTTTTTTGAAAGATTTCATTTATTTATTTTTATGTGGAAGAACTGGGGTGCAGGCCAGAGATAAAGGGGTTGAGAGGATTCTCCAGAGACAGAGTGGTGGACAAAATAGGCAGATATATTGAAGTACACTGTTAAGGGGGAACATTGGGTAAAACAGGAGAGAGGTCTGCTGTGTCATGTAGGTTCGCTCCCTGGCCAGGGATCGAATTCAGGCCACGGAGGTGACAGTGGAGAGACTTAACCCCTAGGCCACTAGGGAGACCTGTGACTAAGTTTGAATAGGACTGCTATACTAAAATAGGTAATCCAGTAAAATTCACCACCATTTAACCTATCACAACTTCAATAAAATAAGGCATAAGTTATTTATTTTAATGTCCACAAGCTGTTTTCTTTGAGGACTATCAAACTACAGAGTATAAAATATGCCATGAATTATGATTTTAGTCTCAACAACGTAGCTGAGTTTAACTACATGTTAAACTGAGGTCTGTATTTTTTAAAATATATATATATTTGAAAAGATTTATTTATTTATACAAGCACTGGGGTACAGGCCAGAGGCGTGTGAGGGTGAGAGAATCCACCAGAGACAGAGTAGGGAGCAGAACAGGCAGACTGACTGAAATACATTGCTGAGGGGAGCAGCGGATGAGACAGGAGAGGTCTGCTGCGCCATGTGGGAATCTCCCTGGCTGGCCGGGAATTGAACCAGTGCCGCGGAGGCTGCAGACAGCTTCACAGGGCTGCGCTCAAGCCACTGTGCCACCGCCACTGGGGAGGCCCCTAAACTGAGTTTAATAACAATAACGTATGTTTATTGAATTCATTCCTCAGTTAAGTACTTACCTCCTCCTCCATTTCACTACTCTTTCTCTTCCGGGCCTTGGAAATCTTAACCGTCACTGGTGAGTCACAACCAAAGTGTTTCACTGCCATTTTGTTTGGCCTTAAAGGTGTAAACTGAATCTCTAATTCAGGCTTTGGAAATCGAGAAGTCTGATTATTTTCTGTTGACACTTCACAAGAGTCAAGGACTACAGACCCATCCTACAACAGAATTAAAAAGAAAAAAAGTATTTACCGAATTTATTTACTGGAAAGAATTTATAAATTGCAAAGAATTAACTTTTACAAAAACCTATTAAAGGCAATGAATTGCAAAGGATAAAAACGTGTGCTACATAAAATTCACCAATACAAGGACAGAAAGAGTCTTATCATTTACCTTTTCCAGGTTTATACATGGTATGTTAACATTGGAGGATTTCCCAAATTTGTATGAATGTAAGAATTATCTAGAGAATTTATTTAGAAGGTTCTTAGACCCTAACACAATCAACTTCCAAGATGTTTTCAACATATCCTTTCATTTTACTTTCACTGCAACTCTGAGTTAGATGTGGCAAGTGTCCTTAATTCTACTTTTCAGATGAGGAAACAGTGATTTACAGTATTAAATGACAATGCCAAAGTCTACATAATGTATTGTAGCTTGAACTTCTCAGTCACAGAGTATGCTCTATTCCTAAACCCTAATGGTTAAAGGATTTAGAAAGAAATATCATACTACATTTTTCAACCTGATGAAAATTCAAACATGGACCTTTCTTATAAATACCATCAAAATCAAAAGTCAAATACAACTCTCATGACACCTACCATTATTATGAAATAGGGAGAATTCATTATGGGGAAAAGCAACGATTGTGTCCGGACCTTCCTATGGTAAAAACTATGTTATACTGTTTTATAAATGCTTTGATTTTCACAATTCTATTAGGAAGACATTATATGTTTTAAAGATTTATTTTTATTTATGCATACAAGAACTGGGGTGTAGGCCAGAGGTGCGGGGGTGGGGCATTGGTGAGAGTATTCACAAGAGCAGAACAGGTAGATCTAGTGAAATATACTGCTGAGAGGAGCAGCGGGCCAGACAGGAGAGGTCTGCTACACCTTATGTGGGTTAGCTCCCTGGCTGGCGATCCAACTCAGACTGCAGTGGCTGGCAATAGCTTGACAGTGCTGATACTTCAACGCCTGTGCCACAAGGGAGGCTCATAGGGAAACATTGCATGTTTTAAACAAAGTTCAGAAATGTTAAGTAGTTTCTCCAAAAGTCCCAAAATCACAGTGACAGCAGAATATACCTTTATAAATTTGCAGTCTGTGCCTATTTATACCACATGCTGCTACTACTTTTTTCAGCAGACATAATTTCTCTTAGAATCATGAAACCTTTTCACTTTGGACACACAATTTATTTTCCTATTCTTTGAGGTCTTTAGATCAGCAGATTTTTAAGTTCAGATCAATTATTCTGGAAAGACTAGCTTTAGATGTACTTTGATTTGATTTATCTGGGAAGTAGCTATCTGTGAAATGTAATCCTCTCTCCATCCAGGATTCAGACTTAATTTTACAAAAGTAATTCCTGAATTACATCCTATACCTCACCATTGTGTTTATTTTCAAAATAAGCTGCATATTTACGCAGTAAACTAAAGGCATACATAAGATTTAATTATCACCAAGAGCTGAAGCTGAAACATTTTAAAGGTAAATTAGGGGCTAAATAACAAATTGTTTTCTAATTACCCTACTTGGGAAATATGATCAAAATATTGCACAAAGTGGTATTTCTTAGTCATCAACAAATCAATACTAGTATATAAACTGGGGAAACTCAAAATTCATGAGAAATATCCAAAGATGATTCCAAGCTCCAGTTTCTCTCTGGTCTACTAGAACTTACATTTTTTTTTTTTTTTAACATTTAAGAGTTAATTAAATAATTTTGAACAATCTCTATATTCAGTAAAAAAAAAAAAAAAAAAAAAGGTATAGGAAGAACAAAATTCTACTAACTATTTTGGAATCCTCCAATGTAATCTTCTTTAATTGCTCAATTTCATTGTCTTTCTGTATGTTACTGGAGATCAGTGTTTTCAACTGTATCTCTAATGCTGCAACCAGTTGATCCCGTTCTTCTCGCCACTTTTGAAGGTTACTGTCTTTTTCTTTCAGCTGTGCTGTTAGTAGTTCCTAACCAGAAAATACAGGAAACTATTAAAGTAAACCTTGAAGCATGAATCTAAGAATTTTTGAATTTATTATAGATAACATCATAAACATAACTGTGAAAAAGGTGTAATAAATTACAAAGTCAAGTCTAGAGAAAATATTTACTTATAAAGCGAAATAAGACTATGTGCTATATTTTTCCCATCCTTCCAAAACAGTTTATTGATCACTTCTTTTAGAGTTCCCCCCAATATTTGGGAAATGAAAGGGTAACATTAAAACAAAACTAACAATATAGAGAAATAATTAAAAATACCAATTTCACTGGGTTAAAAATCATGAAATACTGGGCCTCCCTGGTGGCACAAGGGGTTAAGCACAGCACTATGAAGCTATCACAGCCTCAGCAGCAGGAATTCGATCCTCAGCCAAGGAGCTACCCACATGGCGCAGCAGACCTCTCCTGTCTCACCCGCTGCTGCTTCCCTCAACAGTGTTTTCAGTCAACCTGCCTGTTCTGCTCCCACTCTGTCTCTGGTGAATCCCCTCACCCGCCACACCTCTGACCTGGACCCCAGTTCTTGTATGCATAAATAAATAAATCTTTAAAAAAAAAAATCATGAAATATTTAGTGGTAATTTACAGAAAATATGTGCAAAACCTAAACATGAAAAACTACAAAGCACTGTTGAAAGAAATTAAAAAACAAATAAATGAAGAGAGACTATGTATTCAAATACATGTTAGTTTTTTCCAAATTGCTCTACAATCAAGGCAATTTTAATCATAACGCAGAAATGAAAGAACTCTAAAATTTATTTGGAAATGGAAATGATCTAGAATAGTAAAAATCACTTTGAAAACATGGAACAAAATAGGAGCAATCACACTATATGATTTCAGGTCTATTTTAGTGTGCAAGACATGTGACACTGGCAAAAGGGTAGGATAGATAGAGATTAGTGGAACAGAAGAGAAGATCCACAAATGGACAGTCAACTGGCATTCTACAGAAATGCCAGAAATTCAGCGGAGGATAGGACAGTCTTTAAAGCAAATGATGCTGAAACGACTGAAGAGCTGAATTTTAAAACAAGAACCCCACCCTAATATCATATCATATATACAAATTAACTATTGGACAATTTAATTATGACAAAAGTGACAGAGCAATGAAAAAGAAAAACACATTTTTCAATAAATACTGCCAGGGCAATTGATAATGCACGTTTGGGAAAAAAAATCTTTACCTATACTATCTCATTTCAAATAAAAATCAATTCTAGGATCTCAACATAAAAGGTAAAATCCAAAACTTTTAAGAAGTAATAGAGGGCCTCCCTGGTGGCGCAAGGGGTTAAGACGCAACCTATGAAGCAGTCTGTAGCCATTGCAGCCCGAGTTCATTTCCTGGCCAGCCAGGTTGGCGCGGCAGACCTTTCCTGACTTGCCTGCTGCCCCACTCAGCAGTGTAATCTGCCTGTTCTGCTCCCCACTCTGTCTCTGGTGAATCCTCTCACTCCCCACACCTCTGGCCTGTACCCCAGTTCTTGTATGCATAAACAAATAATCTTTCTTTTTTTAAAAAGAAATAATAGAGAACAACATCTTTATGTCCTTGGCATTTATAAAGAAATCATACTGGGGAAATGAACTAAAATAAGATCATGAATTTCTATTCATAAAGTGGCAATGAGAGTGAAAAAAGTAAACTAGAGATCAAAAGAGTTAGCTGGAATACACCAAAGATAAAGGATTCCTACCGAAAGAAAAAGTATAAGGAACAACTATACAGCAATGAAAAACAGATGTATAGTTTGATAAGAATTAGGGAAGGGGCATATATAGGGCATAAAAAAGTTAAAATAAGAACATAAGTGAACTTCAAGATAAACAGAAAAGTCCACCTTACAAATAAACAGATTGCCTTAAAAAAGTTTTCTTTTCTCAACCATGTAGAGACTAGAACCAACAAACAAACAAAACCATCCTTAACCTCATTAGTAATCAAGGAAAAGAACATTAAAACCATAAAAAAGGACTGACATTACTGTATGTTTGTGAGAATATACAGCAACTATAATACTAGTTGTAGTAGTTGGTACAACTACTTTGAAAATCAGTCTGACATACTACCAGATTCCTACATATGCCATTCTGTGGTTGGCTATATACACAACAAAAATGCATGCACATGTGCCAAAAAAATGTATATAAACATTAATAGGAGAATTGACTCAAAATAGGAAACAATCCAACATTAAAATAAATTGACTATGGTATGTTCATATAACATTGAACAATGAAAATGGACTAACTCAAGTATATGCAAAAACATGATGATTCTCACAAACATAATGTTGAGTGAAAGAGACCAAGTACAGACAAATGCATTCTGTATATTTCCATTTATGTAAAATTAAAAACCAGGCAAAACTGAAATATAACATTAATGGCAGAATAGTTATTGTCATTGGGAAAGAAGTAGAAGAGGGGGCTCTCCAGGGTGCTGTAAATAAGTATTATCAGTTTTACAAGAATTTACTGAATTACATATTTGTTTTAATTACTGTGTTAGAGATTATAATTTGAAAAGCTCAAAACCCAACAATTTATTTCTTACATATGGCAGACAGATATACATTGTGGGTATGACTGCAAAGAAACACACGGGAGAAAGGAGCTTTCTCTAGGATTAGAAACTCAAAATAGGTTTATTTGCAGGCATTGCTATTAGAGGGACTAGGAAAAGAAAATAACCTCATTTTTTTCCCCTTCTCCTTTTCTTTCCCCTTCCCCTTCAGACCCCAACCTCATTCTTAGTATAGAACTGGAGTGACTGTGGCAACCAACAGTACTGATTTCACTTCTTTCTTTTCAAACTGTATCTTTTTTTGAGTGGAAGTAACATTGCTTTACAACACAGTATATGATTCAGGGGTGTAGGTTTATACCTCTTCATAAGTATGTTACCACCACACCCACCCCCAAAGCACGGATAATCTGCCAGAGTCCTAGATTTCACTTCTTGCCCCTTACTACTGCCCCAGAAAATTTGATGGGCTATGGAACAGGATCAGGGAACCAGCTGCAACCTTTTCTATTAAGAGAGATGCAGCTTCAGTATTCTTTTCAACCCAACACTTCCTGATGGTATCTCTCATGCACTTAGAATTGACACATGAAATGAAAGATACTCTCCCCTTGGAAATGTTGTAATGACAAGAATTAGTCTCACATGAGTTGGCACATGACAGGAAGAGTCAAGACTTTAAAGAAACAAAACAACTGAATAAAATGCCAAGATCCTGGACCTAAAAGACATTAGTGAGGAAACTGGTGAAATTCTAATATGGTCTATAATTTAGCTAAGACTACTAAAATAACATTAACTTGGTTCTGATCACCATACTATTACATAAGATGCTAATATACAGGAACTGTCTACTAGTTTTGCAACTTTTCAGTAATTAAAATAAAAAGGCTAAACCTCAAAGACATCTTTGAGAGGTGAGACACATCACCCAAAGCAGTGATAGTGAAGGCAAAGATAAACAGCTGGGACTACATCAAATTAAAGAGCTTCTGCACAGCAAAACAGATAATAACCAAAACAAAGAGAAACACCACCGACTGGAAGAAAATTTTCACACACAACACTAATAATAAAGGATTGATCACAAAAATCAACAAAGAGCTGATGAGACTCAATAAAAACAAAGAAAAGAATCCAGTCAAAAAATGGGCAGAAAAGCTAAAAAGAAACTTCTCCAAAGAGGAAATGCAAATAGCCAAGCAGCATATGAAAAAATGTTCAACATCGCTTGTAATCAGGGAAAATGCAAATCAAAACTACCATGAGATACCATCTTACACCAGTGAGAATGGCACATATTAAAAAAACTAGCAACAACAAATGTGGGCGAGGATGTGGAGAAAAAGGAACTCGCTTGCACTGCTGGTGGGAGTGCAAACTGGTCCAACCACTATGGAGAGCTGTGTGGAGATTTTCTGACCTACTAAACATAGAGCTTCCATATGATCCAGCAATTCCACTCCGAGGTATTTACCCAAATGACACAGAAACAGTAATTCCAAAGGGCATCTGCACGCCTATGTTTATAGCAGCACTATTTACAATAGCTAAGCTATGGAAACAACCCAAATGCCCTAAAATAGACGACTAGATCAAGAAGATGTGGTACATATACACAATGGAATATTACTCAGCAATCAAAAAAGATAAACACATGCAGTTTGCAGCAACATGGATGGAGCTAGAAGGGATCATGCTCAGCGAAATAAGTCAGAAAGAAAAATAAAAATACCGGATGGTCTCACTCCTAGCAGGAATTTAGAAAATCTAAATAAGGGACCAGGAAAAAGACTAATTAATACAAAGTAAAAATCAAAATCAACAATATAACCAAAATGCATACATATATTGTGCAAAAATGAAAAATGATGTAAGAATTATATAAAATAAAATATTTAAAAAATAAAAGGCAAAAATGTATTTAAAAATCAATGGAAGGGGCCTCCCCGGTGGCGCAGCAGTTGAGCGTCGGGTTGCGAAGCTGCCCGTGGCCTCTGCGGCGCCGGTTCGATCCCTGGCTTCTCCCCGGCCACCGGAGAAGGGTCCCACATGGCGCGCAGACCTCTCCTGCCGCCCGCTGCTCCCCTCAGCAGTGTACTTTGGTCCTTCTGCCTGCTCTGCTCCTCGCTCTGGCTCTGGAGAATTCTCTCACCCTCCCGCGCTTCTGACTACACCCAGTGTATGTATAAACAAAACAAACAAACAAACAAACAAATAAAAAACATGCCTCTATTAAAAAAAAAAAAAAATCAATGGGAAAAACATCCTTTACTTACTGAAAAAACTGACATATCTCTTTTTAATAAGATATTAGTAAAGTTCTGTCATAAACATCGGAAATGCTAACAGATGACAATGTGATAGTGCCAAGTTATTACTGAAAACATATGATTTCCAAGCTCATTGTAAGAGCTACAGTTAGTAAACCTAAAGGTTATGTCTATCTGTAATCTAGAAACTATTTAGTTGACCTAAGAAAACAATTCCTGGGGAAGGGGCGGAGGAAAACAATTCCTAATAAAATGACCTTATACACATTAGTAGAATATATAGTTCAAAATATGAAGTTTTACTAATATTGTAGTAATATGGCAGTCAAAAGGAAAATATTTTAAGTTCTATATCTAGACATTGAGATGTAATTAGGTATTTTCCAAATTGCTAAATGAATGAAAAAAGTTAAATAAGAACGTAAGTGAACTTCAAGATAAACAGAAAAGTCCATCTTACAAATAAACAGATTGCCTTAAAAAAGTTTTCTTTTCTCAACCATGTAGAGACTAGGAATTGCAGGGGTAACTTGAACAAACCCAAAAAGCAGATAAAATACATCAAAGATAAGGTATAATTGTTACCAACCATTTCATTTTGCTGTTTCAAACAACGCTCTCTGTCTTCCACATATTTTTTCATCTCTTTGTTTCGTAGATTCTCAGCTTCTTGTGCTTGAGCGATAAGCACCATTTTTTCTTCTATCCATTTCTTTCTATCAGTTTTATATATCTGTTCAGATTCCTGGATGCATAAATAGTACAATTATCACATGCTTAAGAAAGAATAAATCTTTTTATAACACTTTCATTCAACCCATCACTTTTTACCTTTTAAAAAAACCTAAGTGTTTTTCTTTATATAATGACAAGACCAAGAGTTTATTTCAGGTAATAAAAAGACCACTGCTTGCTTGCTTTCCTAAACAGTATTTCCTTTATAAACTTAATTTTGTCGCTACGTTCACTTATGGACTTTCCTTCATCAGTGAATTTTGCTAAGAAGAAATTAATATTAAAATTTGTAAAAGAATTATAGAGACCCAAGTCTTCTTAAATGCCAGGAAAAAGTAACTTGGTTTATGGTGGTCATTACTAATCACATGTTTCCAAAAATAAAATACTTCTGGGTATACAAGATGTCAAATATAGAATAACTTGTGCAACAGGACAAATATTTATTAAAGTACAGCTGGACCGAGAATATAGTTATCTCCCACTATTTAAAAAAAGTTCTAAAACCACTGTACTGTTTAAACTACAGCAGTCCATTCCAAGATTACAAAATGTATGACCTAAGATACGTGATTATATCATTTTGTATTAACACAAAGCACACTAATACTCCTTAATATGAACATTTCATTAGAGTTCATTTATTATCTCATAATTAACTGAGTATTTACTATTCTCTAGAGGCTTTTAGGTTTTCACAATAGAAAAGAAATCCTATAATATATAATAGTTAAAAAAAAGAAAATAACTAAATTTTTAATAGGTGTAATTTGATTACATGCAGCCTGAATTTAAGAAAATTTAGAGGCAGCCAATTTTCAAAAATCATTATTATATTTTCTTCAATTTCAGAATTAGTTATGAATGCAACTTCTTTTTTTTTTAAGGTGAAATTTTATTTTTTCTCTTTTTTAAAATTTATTTTTAATTTAAAATTTATTTTTATATTCCCCATACAATTACAACCCCCTTATTTTTACCCCAAGCCCTCCTTTCCCTGCCCCCCGCCCCCCATAGAGAGTCTCTTGTTCATAGTTATTTATTGATTTTGATATTTTCTTTCTTATAGTTATTCTTTTTCCTGGTCCCTTATTTAAGTTTTCAAGTGAGACCATCTGGTATTTTTCTTTTTCTTTCTGGCTTATTTCACTGAGCATGATCCCTTCCAGAGCCATCCATGTTGCTGCACATTGCATGTGTTTATCTTTTTTGAATGCTGAGTAATATTCCATGGTGTATATGTACCACATCTTCTTGATCCAGTCATCTATTTTTTGGGCATTTGGGTTGTTTCCAAATCTTAGCTATTGTAAATAGTGCTGCTATAAACATAGGGATGCAGGTGCTCTTTGGAATTGATGTTTCTGTGTCCTTTGGGTAAATACCTAGCAGTGGAATTGCTGGATCATATGGAAGCTCTATGTTTAGTAGGTCAAGAAATCTCCATACAGCTCTCCATAGTGGTTGGACCAGTTTGCATTCCCACCAACAGTGCAGGAGAGTTCCTTTTTCTCCACAACCTCGCCAACATTTGTTGTTGCTAGTTTTTTTTAATATGTGCCATTCTCACTGGTGTAAGATGGTATCTCATTGTAGTTTTGATTTGCAATGAATGCAACTTAATAAAAGGCACAAAATTTTAATTATTTGGTAAGTTCCACAAAAAAATTTCCTTCATATGTTGTCTTCTATATATAGGATGTTAGAGCTGAACTTGAGAAAAAATTATAAACACAAAACAGTATCTTCTATATAGTATGGTTTCAATTATATGATAGTATTCAGACATATTAACTGAATTCTTTTCCAACTTAATTAAACTTTGAAAACACTGCATTTTGGGGGCAACTAATAGTTTGCAAAGGAATTCCCTCTTCATATCATTTCAATGTGTATTGAAAAATTATATCTATATATTAGCATTTCCATGGTACTATTTTACCCATATCTAAATTATTAAATATTTACTGAGTTCTTTGCTTATCACAAATATAATGCATACATATATGCAGTCATAGATAAAATCATACCTGTAACTCATCTTGAAGCTTACTGAGCTTTTTAGTAAGGACATCTTCGTTGTCTTCAAGTTCTTTATTTGACCTTTGATTACTTCTGGTTTCCAGATCTTTGCATTTTTCCTTCCATTTTTCCAATTCTGATTTAAAAACAAAATTATTTTTAAAAGAAAATGTAAAAAGTTATACTATGTAGAGCACATGGCATAGAATACAGTCAAGAATCAGCAAATCCCAGAAGAACGAAGACTAAGATATAAATGAGACTATTCTAAGAGCTGCACTCATTTAAAGATCCTTACCAAATTTTTACAGAAGAGGGAACTAACTCTAAGGACCTTCCAAGAAAACCCACTATAGCATTTACAGTATACTATATAAATGCATATCAATATTAATTATAAAGGAAACTTCATGTAATTCTCAAAAAATCCCAAAGCAAAACAAAAACCCTCTGATAGTATTTTGAAGAATGGAATCGGAGTATTTATTTATTTTTAAGATTTATTTTTATACAAGAACTGGGAGGATTTTTATACAAGATGCGCAGGAGGGTGAGAGGATTCACCAGAGACATAGCGGGGAACAGAACAGACAGACTAACGAAATACACTGCTGAGGGAGCAGTGGGAGAGACAGGAAAGGTCTGTAATGCCATGTGGGACCCTCGCTGGCCTGCTGGCTGGGATCAAACTGGCGCTGAAGAAGCTGCGGACAGCTTCACAGCGCCACCAGGGAGGCCCCAGATTACTTATTTAGATAAACATACAAGAGAGTACTAAGATAGTATTAAGATAGTGAAATTCGGTTGAAAGCTCATCCTCAGTGTCTGGGGAGCATCACAAGTTTTCAGTTATTATGACAGTGTCCTTATTTCTTCTTTATGAAATACAGTTTTACCTACCGGGAACGATTTTCATCACGCTGGAAAATGACAACTGACAGAACATTCTCCAAATACACCAAATAACTTTTCATTATAAATTATATTATTAAACTACTTTAAAAAGGAAAGAAATGTAGAAAAATAAGAGAAAATGAGAATATGTCTTGAGACACTTCGGTCTCATTTTACCAGTGGCCAGTCTTTCGACTTCCTGTAATTTAGCCTCCAGCACTTGTTCTTGTTCTACCTGGGTTTGTTCTTGTTCTTCCAGTGTCATTCGCATGTCTTCAATTATCTTCTCTTTAACATTTAGATCTAAAAAATTAAGGAAGAACATTTTAGAAATTCCTAACATCCATATCCCAATTTTTGAATTCTTTTAAAATTAAAGTGCACTTTTATTAACTATAATAGGAGTTCCATATAGGCAGAAATCTGGTCTTGTTCACTGATGCTATCCTCCATTCCTTCCTAGAGCAGTACTTAAACATCTGATGCATCAAGTACTTATTTGATGCACACAGATGGATGCTTGGACAAAAGCAAGAATGAATGGATGTATGCAAAAGGAATCTGTTCATATATTTACTTTAGTGTTTAATATTCTGGAATCAAAACTAAAACTTTAACCTCCTTAAAAAAAAAAAAAAAGAAGAAAGCTTCAGCCCCCAATTTGATATATTCTTTTTTTTTAAAAAAAGATTTATTTATTTATACAAGCACTGGGTACAGTCAGAAGCATGGGAGGGTGAGAGAATTCACCAGAGCCAGAGCAGGGAGCAGAGCAGGCAGAAGGACCGAAGCACACTGCTGAGGGGAGCAGCGGGCAGCAGGAGAGGTCTGCGCGCCATGTGAGACCCTCCTCCGGTGGCCGGGGAGCAGCCAGGGATCGAACTGGCGCCGCAGAGGCTGTGGGCAGCTTTGCAACCCGGCGCTCAACTGCTGCGCCACTGAGGAGGCCCCCAATCTGTTATTTTTTTAATCACAACTGCATTTTTCTAGAAAAACCGTCAAAGCCAAATATTTACTTCTAGTCCTTAATAATACTGTCTGTTAGAAGTGATAAACCTAAAAAAGTACAGCTCAAATACAGGCTACTAGATTTGGTCAAAGGGTGATCACTTGCTAACTTGTGGTTAAAATAGTGGCAGCAGCAGAGATCTGTAGTAGAAAGAGATTAGAGATATTTTGGGCAGAAAGAGACATTAAATTTAAAAATGGAATAGGTACCAAAACCACTCAGCACAAGAAAACTATAAACCAGTATCTCTTGTAAATATAATAAATATATATATATTTATATATTTATATATATATATATATATATAAAGTCCTCAATAGATAACTAGCAAAGTGAATCTGTCAACATATATAAAGCATTATACACCATGACCAAGTGGGATTTATCCTAGGAACTCAAGTTCTAAACTCAAGACAACACATTGTATTAATAAAGAATAAAGACACAATATCATTTCAACAGATGCTGGAAAAAGTACTTGATCAAATCCAGTATCTTTTCATAATAAAACACTCAACAAATTAGGAACATAAGGGAACTTTCTCAACCTGGAAAAAGGCAGGTACCCCACACATAACATTACACATAATGGTAAAAGAATGAAAATTTCCCTTCTAAAGTCAGGAACAAAACACATTCCCCTCACCATTTCTACTGAACAATGTTCTGTAGGTTTTAGCTGGGGGAATTAAGTGAGATAAATAAGATGGAAGGGAAGAAATAAGTTTTCTCTTTTTGCAGATAGCCTGATCTTATACACAAAAAAAACCCTTAAGAAATACACACACCCACATACACCAACATATAATCTTTATTTTTTCATTTTTGCATAGAACTGGGGTGTAGGCTGGAGGTCTGGGGCATGAGATGATTCACCAGAGACAGAGTAGGGAGCAGAAAAGGTGGATCTACTGAAATAACTGCTAAGCAGAGCAGCAGTTGAAACAGGAGAGGTCTGCTGCGCCAAATGTAGGTTAGCTCCCTAGCTGGGGATCGAACTCAGGCTGAGACTTAAGCTCCAGGCCACCAGGGAGGCCCCAGATATAATCTTATTATAGTTCATAAATTAGTTCAGCAAGGTGGCAGGATAGAAGAGCAACATAATTAAATTAACTGTACTTCTATACAATAGCAATCAACAATCCAAAAGAGGTATCAAGGAAACAATTTCATTTCAGTAGTATTACAAAGAATAAAATACTTAGAAATCAATTAATAAAAGATGTGTAATACTTGTACATTAAAACCAAGAAAACAGGGCCTCCCCAGTAGCGCAAGGGATTAAGATGCAGCCCATGAAGCTGTCCGCAGCCACTGCAGCACAAGTTCAATCCCGGCCCGCCAGCCGGCGAGAATCCCACATGGCGAGCAGACCTCTCCTGTCTTGCCCGCTGCTCCCCTCAGCAGTGTTTTTCACTAGATCCTCCTGTTCTGCTTCCCGCTCTGTCTCTGGTGAATCCTCTCACCCCCTACACCTCTGGCCTGTACCTCAGTTCTTGTATACACGAATAAATAAATCTTAAAAAAAAAAAAAAGGAAATTCAGGAGAGGAGGGGGAAGAAAGGGGGAGGAGTGAAAGATGGGGTCACAATGGACTATGGTGGAGGACTATGGGTGCTTTTGTTGTGGGAGAGCTATGGTGACCATACCTGAGGAGAAAATCCTGTACTCTCAAAAAATTAACAGGGATGTAAAATAATGGTACTTAATTAAAATAAAATTAAAAAGAAAAAAAGGAACTTGGGACTTAAGACAAAATGAAATAACAAAAAAAGGAAATTTGGGCAGAGGCATAAAGGGATAAGCAATTATAAAGGCACACGGAGAGAGAAGGCGGCCATGTTAAGACAGAGTCAGATTATAGTTATATTGTTGAACAATACAAAAAACTGCCATCAACCACTAGAAGCTAAAACAGATTAGAGAAAATTCTTCCCTAGAGTCTTCAGAGGGAACATGGCCCTATCAGACTCTGTTATTTCACTCTCCACTTTCAGAACAGTAACAGAATTTGTTATTTTAATCCACTTAGTTTGTGGTACTTTGTTCTTGTTACAGCAGCCCAAATAAACTACAATATTGATAGATGGCTATTAATTTTAAAAGTGAAAAAAAAATAAGTATCGTCAAAAGTTTGGAAAAATTGCAGTCCTCATTCATGTAGGGAAATAGAATCACGTAGACCCTGCAGAGAAGTTTGATAGTTCTTGTAAGAGTTAAACATAGAGTTAACTACTATGTGATTATCTAGTAGTTCTACTCCTAATTACACACCCCCAGGAGAATTAAAAACATGTTCACCCAAAAAGTTGTACACAAATATTCATAAAAGTGAAAAAGCAAACAATCCACTGTCTATCAAATCATGCATACATTAAATGTGGTAGTTACAATGGAATATTGTTTGGCTATAAAAAAGAAATGAAGTACTGATACATGCTACAATATGGATGAAACTTGTAAAAATTATGCCAAGTAATTCGTGAAGGTAGACACAAAAGGCCAAAAATTGCAGGCATTCACTCATATAAAATGTCTAAAACAGGCAAATCCATACAAACAAAGCAGGGACAAGCACTGAGCAGTGATTGCTAATGGGTACAGGTTTTCTGTTTGGAGTGATAAAATGCTCTGGAATTAGACAGTGATAGGGATGGTGCAACCATAGGAATATACAAAAATCTACTAAGTTACACATTTTAAAGGATAAATTTAAAAACAAATATTCTATATCTTAATTTTAAAAAATTTAAAAAAACAAGAGATATATTTTCAATCCAAGTTATTAAGCCAAGTCAATACCTCAAACGTCTGAGTCATCTAAATAAGTAATAATTGGTTGTTTCATCCTTTTTTCTAACACATTAATTGACAAAGAAGTTAAGGAATAAGTGATGGGGAGGAGAGAAATCTGCATAAACAGAAATATATATATGATATCTAAAAAAATTTTATATTTTAATATAAAAAGTCAACAAAATTTTAGCAGAGAAATAATTCTGCACATATGATTTGAATCTTAAATATTAAATGGTCTTAAAAAACTTAAAAAAATATTTTTTAATTTTAAAGATATTTTACTAGAAGTATATTCATTATGAATTTGCCTAGAAATTATTCTATTCACTGTGACCTAAGTAACAATGACTGACTTTATTTTTCACAAAATATTGGCCATTACCTACAAATCAGCGTTGCTTTGACTAAAAATTTCCTAATGCTTTATTTTTCCAAGAATAAACTTTATGTTAAGCTACTCATTAGGAATCAATGTTTTTCTCTTTTGATAAAATTATTTCTTAAGTTTCCCTTATACTACTGTAGAATTTTCAAAAAAAAAGTTTCTGACCTTTACATGCTCTCTCATACTGTTGTATGATTTCTTCCATTTTCTGGTTATTTAACTGTTCCTGAAAAATGAAAGAATATGAATTAAATGCAGATGTAACTTAAGCATACAACAATATTTAATAGAGACCTGAAAACAGGGTTCAATATTAAGTTTGAAGTCTGTCCCCTTCAAAGATGACCACTAGTCTTATGCTTCCAACTTTCTAGTTTCTTTCACCTTGTAGGAAAGGATGGCAGTAAGACAAAAATAAAACTTTATACCTTAAATCTACCTCAAAAATACTGCCTAGTCATTTTGCTTACTCTAGCTTTTAAGCTACCCAGATCTCGTCACAGAAAGTAGACATGAGAAAATGAAGATTTATTATGTATTTAACATAGAAGGAACAAAGAAAAGCATACAAAAAAGTTCCCTATCATTAGACTCAAATTGTAGAAACTACCCGCCACAACCCCCCAATATAGAAAGTAGCTAGTATAGAAAGAAGAAAAAATAACAAGAGCTATAAGGGACAAGACTAAATCATGGGCACTGGAAATCCTTCAATTCTAGTTCACCTGACAGGTAAGCAATATTCACTCCCTATCTCATCTAACTTCAGTGCTATCCTCACTTTTTATCTTAGAAGGAAGTCATAGAACCTGGAAATCTCTGAATCCTGTTAGGAAAACATAGATTGCTTCATTAGGGTTATATTCAGTTAAAAATTAAAATAGGGCCTCCCTGATGGCGCAAAGGGTTAAGACACAGCCTACGAAGCTATCCACAGCCACTGAAGCACAAGTTCGATCCCCAGCCAGGGAGGTGGACCCACATGGCACAACAGACGTCTCCTGACTCACCCACTGCTCCCCTCAGCAGTGTATTTCAGTCTGCCTATTCTGCTCCCCACTCTATCTCTGGTAAATCATCTCACCCCCCATACCTCTGGCCTGTACCCCAGTTCTTGTATGCATAAATAAATAAAACTTTAAAAAAAATTAAAATAGCAAGCACACCTGATTAGTTGCCTTTTTAAAATATATATATATATATATATATATATATATAAAGATTTATTTATTTATACAAAAACCAGGGTACAGGCCAGATATGCGGGAGGGTGAGAGGATTCACCAGAGACAGAGTGGAGAACAGAACAGGCAGACCGACCGAAATACACTGCCAAGGGGAGCAGGGGGCAAGATAGGAGAGGTCTGCTGTGCCATGTGGGTATCTCTGTGGCTGGCGGGGATCGAACCAGCACTGCAGAGGCTGCGGACAGCTTCACAGTGCTGTGCTCAACCGCCTGCGCCACCAGGGAGGCCCGATTAGTTGCCTTATTAAAAGTAAACTTGAGGAGTCCGGTAAGATGGTGACAGAATGAAGTTACTAGGGCTCACGTCCTTCACATATTCATAACCAAATTACAACTGAACAAAGACAACAACTCCTGAAAGATAAATGAAGGACTAACACATACATCAAAAGCAAATCAGAGGATAGGGATGAAGAAAATCAAAGTGATTTTAGAATGACAGTGGGGAGTACAAACCAAGAGCAGGAAAACACAATGGCTGTTCAGGGCTCCTCTGTTGTTAGTTCAAGGGCACAGGCCCCTATCAGGGACTTTAAAAGCCAAGCAGTACATAGAGAAGGGAGTGCATAGTCAGTGTGTAGGTCAGACGGTGTACCACTGGAAAAACCGTAGGTGCAAGGGTACAGTGTGGTGGTTACTGGTTTGAGCCTGAGGTTCCCAAGCTAGTTGGTTCCCAAATCAGCAGGGAGAGTCAGATCAATCACATGCATCTCCTCACAGAACAGGCTTAATACTTTCTATCTGTGGCTATGACATGAGATACACTTGCCTTACCCCACTCAGAGTCAAAATCTAGACAATTATGTTTTTACTAACCAAAGTTTGAAGTACCTAGATCTTAACAAGAACAAGCACCAGAGAATATGGCTGGACAATCAAAAAGCAGAGAACAATTCCTAGCTAATGATGCTGTTTCAACAATAGCACCCACCCAGTGCTACACTTGACCACAGTCTATAGGCTGAGGATGGAACAATATCGTTTGATATGTTTTGAAATAAGTGTTGGCCTACCGGGGGGAAACACTGTGGATGCCCATCACACAACTTGGTTACCTATAGCACAGCACTGCAGGAAGTTTGAACTCTTGATGCTAACTGTAGGCAATCTTTTGGTGTCCTACTGCCCTAGTTCCATCCTACCTATTACCTCTTACTGGCACCAGTGCCACAGCCATCTGAACAGGTGTAAAGGAAGCAGCCTGTGAGATAATAGACGTGTAACACATCAGATATATGTTATATAATGTATGGATGGATGTAAAACAGTATAGATAAATACACTGGAGTAAAGTACAATCACCAACAATCAAAAGAAAAAAAATAAAAGATACCTAAAGGTCCAAGGTAAAACCCCTAGGATTATAACCAGCTTCTTGTAGAAGGAGTATAAAGCCAATTTATCAAGATAAGAAAAGGAAATCCCTATTAAAACCCATAAAAATTAATTATGAGGAGTCCAAAGAATGATCATAAATGCCATAACAAAATAACTTCAAGAGAAGTCTTAATTCAGTGTAAGTGTGAAATATGGAGGAAACGAGGAGAGAGAGAAGGTGGTGGATAGTCAGAATTCTTGAGTCCTTGTTTCCTTTACTGATATTGTGCATAAGCATCCAGAGGGAGTGGTCACATTGGGAATGGAGTTAGAGAAGTTAGGAACAGTGTCTTAGCAAGGAGAGCCAGAAACCATGGGAAAAGGTAGTAAAGTCTGAGAAACAGTAAGTCAGGAATGGTGCCAGTTCACTGGGAGGGATACTGGTACCTCCCCAACCAGGATCCGAGGTTCTTCTATGGCCTGGGGAGGAGAATGTAGAGATCTCAGTAAGAGCATACATTTCAACAAAGGAAATCCAGGTAGTAGGGAACTGGGCTCAGTAGTGGGAAGAGCCACATGGCTGTTCCTGGCATAGGCTCTGGGCTCCCAGGATTGTCTATACCCCCCCTGAGAGCTTCTGGTCTATGCCTAGAGAAATTATAAGAGGCCACAGGAAAGTCAGTCAGCCTAGTGGCTTTTTCTGTGGCAGTCTTGGGGAGGCAGACACACAGATGGCTTGGAAAAGGTGGTAATCCTGGTGCAATATAGTGAGGGAGAGCACAGCAGCTCTAGGCATAGAATCTGCATAGCCTTTTCAGCAGTGGGCTTCCAGACCATGGGCTTCAGAAAGACTGAGTACACACCCAATTCTCACCCACCTAACTATAGGGTAAGACCTCTCAATCTGTGTCCAGTGTACTCAGAAAGTACATGTAGCCATGGTGAACAGTCTGCAAACAAAGGGCTGCTTGGTTGCAGGTGTCCAGTGAGGGGAGTCAGGAGTGGTAGCTGCCTATACTGCAGCCTGTTCTCTTGGGCTTCCCCAAAAAGTTTCCAATACTGCTGGGGAGTACAGAACTCCTGGGGAGAAGATTAATACCAAAAAACCCACAACAAACAGCAACTTGAGACCTCAAGGGAGTACACTGCCACAAGGAGGTAACAACTCTCCAGAGTCCAACCACAAAGATACGGAAGATCTTATCTTTCTATCTGACAGAGCTCAAAACTGTGATGATAAAGAAATTCAAAGAAATGGAAGAAAATGCATCAATGTAGGGGAAAAAGGACTTCAGGGATATAATTAATGAACAGAAATTAAAAATGGAAGATTTAAGCAAAAGGTAAGGCTAAGGGAGTTGCAGGATATAAAAAGATCAACAGGGCCTCCCTGGTGGTGCAAGGGGTTAAGACGCAACCTATGAAGCTATCCGCAGCCACTGCAGCACGAGTTCGATCTCCATATGGTGCAGCAGACCTCTATTGACTCGCCTGCTGCTCCCTTCAGCAGTGTATTTCAGTATGCCTGTTCTGCTCCCCACTCTGGTGAATCCTCTCACCCCCGACACCTCTGGCCTGTACCCCAGGCTCTTGCATGCATAAATAAATAAATCTTTAAAAAAAAAAAAAAAAAAGGGCCTCCCCGGTGGCGCAGTGGTTGAGCGCTGGGTTGCGAAGCTGCCCACAGCCTCTGCGGCGACGGTTCGATCCCTGGCTCCTCCCCGGCCACTGGAGGAGGGTCCCACATGGCGCGCAGACCTCTCCTGCCGCCCGCTGCTCCCCTCAGCGGTGTGCTTCGGTCCTTCTGCCTGCTCTGCTCCCCGCTCTGGTGAATTCTCTCACCCTCCCGCGCTTCTGACTGTACCCAGTGCATGTATAAACAAAACAAACAAATAAATAAATAAAACATGCCTCTATAAAAAAAAAAAAAAGTATTTAAAAAAAAAAAAAGATCAACAGAGACAAAAATTCTGCTTAAAGTTATGGAAGCAGAGCAAATGGAAGACTGAGGCAGTGACTTTGAAGATTATAATACACAAAGAACCCAGGAGGAAGACAAAATACGAAGAAAGTAAATAAAGAAACACTTAGAGATCTATCTGGACATTAGGACAGGCTTTAGGTAAGGTGTGGGTATCCCAGAAGGGGAAGAGGAGGTAGCAGAGAATTTATTCTAAGAAATAATAGTGGAAAACGTCTGAAACTTGGAGAAAAAAATAAATATACAAGTTCATTAAGCTAAAAATACCTAATTACCTAAATGCAATGATACCTACACCAAGTTCAAGAAAAAGAAAGAATACTGAAGGTGGAGAAGACAAAAAGCAGAAAATATGAGGGAGATCCCGGGCATCAAGGATTTCATTTGACATCAAGTTCTTGCAGGAAACCCTAACTGGCATTAGACATTAAAATACATCCAACAGAATCTACTTAAACCATCTTTAAAAAACAAAACTTACCTTGAGTTGCTGAATGGTTCGCTGTTTCATATCAATTTCCTGAGAACACTGATTTTTCTTTTTTTCCAGTTCATTGATTTTAATCCTCAGTAATTTCTCTTCATCACGCATGACAGATACCTACAAAGCAATGTTCATAAAACAAATTAAATATTTCAAAAAACACTAACTGCTTTTTGTTAAAAATTAATGGCCATTTAGAAAATTTACAGATGTAAGTTATCACATGACAGAATAAAAATATCAGAAGGGCCTCGTTGGTAGTGCAGGGGGATGAGCACAGTGCTGTGAAGCTGTCCACAGTCTTTGCAGCATGAGTTCAATCTCTGGCTAGCTAGCAAGCAGCCCACACAGTGCAGCAGACCTCTCCTGTCACTCCCGCTGCTCTCCTCAGCAGTGTATTTTGGTCAGTCTGCCTGTTCTGTACCCCATTCTGTCTCTGGTGAATATTCCCCCCCTTCCCCCCATACCTCTGGCCTGTACCCCAGCTCTTGTATGTATAAATAAATAAATCTTTAAAAAAAAATCAGAAAATTTCTTACTATTTTAAAGAAAAATGTATATAGAGATGATTTTCTTATAATAATAAATGGAATCTCAAAGTCTGCAAGTACTTTTATTTTAAAAAAGATTTATTTATTTATGCATACTTAAGAAAGAATTAATACAGGACGGGCCCACCCTGGTGGTGCAAGGGGTTAAGTTTTAGCATAATGAAGCTATGGGCAGCCACTGCAGCACAAGTTAGTTCCCTGGCCAGGGAGCTACACACATGGCGCAGCAGACCTCTCCTGTCTCAGCCGCTGCTCCCTCAGCAGTGTATTTCAGTAGATCCACCTGTTCTGCTCCCTTCTCTGTCTCTGGCGAATCCTCTCACCACCCCCGCCCCCCATACCTGTCCTATACCCCAGTTCTTGGATGCATAAATAAAATAAATGTTAAAAAAAAAGAATTAATACAGGGCATTGCCTGCAACAACAAAATCATTATCATGGAATAATCAAGAGATATTCTTAGGGGAGAATACTGACTTGGATTGCCAAGATTTATTGAGTAATGTGATCCAGTAATACAAGAAATACTTTAAAAGCTAATAATGGCATATAGAAGTAAAAATGAAAATACAAGATCAAAAGGCACGCACACAAATAAGGGTCAAATGATTTATGGTGTTACTAGTAACCTAACTTGTTAGAGAAAGCAAAAGTGCTATGAACTATATAGTATGCAAATATTCTCTCTCACACACACACAATCCACATACATCCTTAAGCCTATTTCCATCATACCATTTCTATAGAGTTCAAAAACTGATGGAAACTTAACAAAGTTCCCTCTTACAGAAAGCCTGGAGATGTCATAAATAATAATAGCTATGAGTGGTTTGTTTTCAGGGATATTTTACCTTCCTTTAGGCTCTCTTTATGTTCCATTATTTATAACAATACATACATATTTCTTTTATAATCATATGCTAATATTTATTTTTATTTGCTTATTTTGTTAAAAAAATGGACTTACAGTAATAAACACCATCTTCATTGACTTAATAAACTACCAACCAATAATAAATAGACTGGTGCACCCAGATGGACATGAGGACTGTCACAGTTTCCATTATATAGTAGATAAGTGAACTTGGACAAGTTTTATCTTTTAATGTGATTCTTAACTCACAGACTATAAATATAAAATAGTGCCTACCTCTAATATTTGTGTGAGAATTGAATAAAACTCAGAACTGAGTTTTATTAACTGATCCAGTTTTATTAACTGAGTTTTTAACTGATCTGGAGTAATCTGCTGCTTCTACCACTGCAATTACTATTATAAAATAGCACTGTGTGGCACTATACATTGTTTTTTTTTTATATACATAGTTTAGTTTGAGAAACAGAAAGCACTCAAAACCCACCTTTATAAAAATGTTGGTGATCTAGACCATAAAACAATAATACTTAGGAGATATCTCTATTAATGTTAGTATGAAAAACTCTTTAAAAAAAGAACTGAAAAACAATATATATAGTTGAGGCCACTTATAAAAATAAAAACATACAAGTTAGATTTAGCAATTATTTATAAACATTATGTAAAAAGCATATAAGTGATCTAGAAGGAAATCTTGGCTATAGAATTGGGCTATAAGAGGGGGAGTGTCAAGGACGGAAGTCTAATGGTTTATGGTAGGGGATCTGTTTTTTTGTGTGTGTGCTGGGCATGGTAATATACACCTGAAGAAGGGTATGTTATATCCCCAAATCATATACAGTGTTGTAAACCCATGCTAACCTCAATAAAAATGCAAAAAAAAAAAAAAAAAAAAAGAAAGAAAAGGGGAGGGAGTGGGGGGAAAGACCTAGAAGAACAGAGATGGATATCAAGAATCATCATATTCAAGAAGTAAGATTGCGGACAAGGTTTTTCACTTAAAAATATTTCCAAATAGTGGATTATAATAAAATACTTTCAACTGGAAAACAAAGCTATTTTTTAAGAGCTGAATAACTGGTTCCATGTGAACAGAAATCAATCAAACCATGTTTGATTATCACACTATTTTATTTTATTTTTTTAAAGATTTATTTATTTATTCATACAAACACTGGGTACAGTCAGAAGTGCGGGAGGGTGAGAGGATTCACCAGAGCCAGAGCAGGGAGCAGAACAGGCAGAAGGACCGAAGTACACTGCTAAGGGGAGCAGCGGGCAGCAGGAGAGGTCTGTGTGCCATTTGGGACCCTCCCCGGCGGCTGGGGATCGAACTGGCGCTGCAGAGGCTGCGGCAGCTTCGCAGCCCAGCGCTCAACCTCTGCGCCACCAGGGGAGGCCCTACCACATTATTTTAAACCAGGAAATTTCTATAACCTCAAGAAACTCCAGCTAAGAAATCACATAGAAAAAAAGACCTAAAATTAAAAAAATCAGTCAAAAATTCAAAATTAATGAAAAATTAAAAATAATCAGATAAGGCTAATGAATTATGTCCTTCACCATCCTATAAGCAAAGTGAAAAGAAGTGAACCAAATCTCTGAATCAGTGGTTCAAAAGGAAATGACAGAAATCTCATTATATTTTTACCTAATAGAAATGAGGAAAATGCTTGAAGGTTATATATATAGCCTAATGCTGTCCTTAAATTTATTCTATTAGGAAGCTATAAGCAATGAATAAACTGGTAATAGGAATATGTATCTAAAATTTCTTCTAGACAGCTGAAGAGAGGAACATAATAAAAGGCAATAATGATGTATAGGGTAAGGATTAAACATTTTTAAAACCAGCATTTTCTGTTGTTTTCAATAGAGGATTGGTTAATTTCTTCTAAACTACTTGAAACTGAAGTGAAAGGATTCCACAGAATGAAAGGAAATGAACTGAAAGACTACCAGGATTACAGTTATAGTCTGAGGTATTTAAATGCATTTACCCGTAATTTGCCCAGAATTTATAAAACTTCTTAACCTATTTACTACCAATAGTAACTCTAATCTTGATCCTGGGGTAGTAAAACCTAAATTTTATTTTACATTTATTTTACAAGCTTAGGATCTACACTAAATCCACAGGGAACTAATTTATGAGGGGGAAACAAAGGATGAACTGGCCAAAATTACATGCCTATAAAGCAAACAATCTAAGTTTTTTGTGACAAAGTGTTTTTCCAAATTGTTCACTGCTTTTTTTTTTTTTAAACTTTTTTTTTTTAATAGAGGCATGTTTTATTTATTTACTTGTTTGTTTGTTTTGTTTATACAAGCACTGGGCACAGTCAGAAGCGCAGGAGGGTGAGAGAATTCACCAGAGCCAGAGCGGGGAGCAGAGCAGGCAGAAGGACCAAAATACACTGCTGAGAGGAGCAGCAGGCGGCAGGAGAGGTCTGCGCGCCATGTGGGTCCCTCCTCTGGTGGCTGGGGAGCAGCCAGGGATCGAACTGGCACTGCAGAGGCTGCGGGCAGCTTCGCAACCCAGCGTTCAACCGCTGCGCCACCGGGGAGGCCCTGTTCACTGCTTTTAACTTGCTGATTTGACTAAAAATTTCCCTATTGCCTGATTACAGTTTAGGTTATTCTTACTGTCTTACATTTCTAACCTAATCTACTTTGAAGCACTTGCCATATTGTCTGGAAACTTTTTTTCATACAATTATCAGAAACAACATAAGATTTACATTTTTTCTATGGTAGTATTTTTTCTCCCATTGATTAAAAACTTTAAATAGGTATGTTCATGAAGATGTGACACAGATATTCCTTACTTAGCTTCCCTTCACAAGAAAAACAAGTAACAACTATTCAGGGGCAAGATACCACTGAGAAAAAGTTAATCACATTTGCTTTATTATAAATAAATACATATTCATTATAAGAAATTAATAAATGCAACAAGTAAAACTTTAACCCTATTATTATATATATAAAAAAGTGGGTATAGGCTATCAACATTATAATGCAAGTATTAACGTTTAGTATTTATCACAGTACTTAAATCAGAATCCTGCCAAATATATTAAGAATGAATCTGAGAACCATGGATAAAATAAAGGGATTTGCAATTTGCACATTTCTACAAATCACCATAAATGAAGCAACAGAACTGAGTCCAAAGCTTCCAAATATTAGAGTGCTTAAGCTGGCAGAAGAAAAAAATGTACCAAAGAACCTCTTGGTCACAAAAAAAGGAGAGGGACAGAGAGCACCAGGTACACAAGAGTTTCTCTTAGACCCTTCTCCACCATTACATACATTATTGTGGGAATTTTCTCATGTTAAATAAAAACTCTTTCCACAAAGTCAACTTCAGTAGTTGAGAACAAACTAAGCAATTCTCTTCTGGAAACAATAGAAAATACTGGATTAAAATTTTTTTAACTTTTTAAATGTACTAAGGAATTGGGCATGAAAGTAAGAAATACTGAGATAATAAACTAAGTGAAAAAAGAATCTAAAAAATTAAATGGAAAAAAAAAAAAGAAGTGGAGCCCTGACTCATGCTGGTTTATGTTTTGAGGACATTCACAGAATGAGGCAGTGTGATTCTTCAAAAGAATGGTAAAAAATAAATGCAATCACAATAAAGAACTTCAACCATCGAAAGCAAGTCAATTAGAAAGTATCTACAATATATTTAAATAACAAAGAACAAGAATCGAGAGACACACAGTATAATCAAAAGAAAACATAAAAAAATGGATTTTACACAGTGGAAATTAGAATATACTAATGGCTAATTAAAACATGAATAAACAATGCATTTCATTAATAATCAGAGGAATATAATTTAAGACCACAAAGAGATACCTCCTTCACATACTCTGATTCATTAATTCCACCCATGGGAATACAAACCTTTGTGCATGTATAAGATAGGTAGACTGTTTCTATAATCAAAAAATGGAAACAATCTAAACAGTCACTAGAATGGATAAACTGCAGTGCAGTATAGTCACACAATTAAATACAGCAGTGAAAGTAATTAATTGGAAGCAAACACAACTGAATGTCAGGAATATGTGGAAAACAAAATAAAAATTTCATTTTTTAAAAGTTATAAAGAAAAAGATAAATACAAAACATTCAGTATGGTAACTTCTTTGGGGGTTATGGAATTTGGAGTAGGGATAAGAAAACAAGCATTTGTCATATGATTATTTTTCAGACCATAAACATTTAAGTACCCTTCTGTAACTAATGCAAAGTAATAAAAAAGCTTTCAGTTTTTAAAAAAGTCTGAATATGATTAAAAAATTAAGCAGTCATAAGAATATGCAATAAGTTCCCTTAAAGCAGTTCTTGGGGGGAAAAAAAACCAAAAAAGCAAAGAATATGAATGCAGAATAAAAAATGAATGCAGGAAAAAATGTCTTTTAAACAAAGTGATGCTCAATCATAAATAGGGAAACGCAAGTTAGAATTACAGTGATCCATACTATTTTAATATCAAATAAATAAATCTCAAAGAAGTATGATTACTACTTTATAAAGGTGTACAGAAAGATACTTTCCTACTTTCAGACATTAGTTCCAGCATGTAAATTGGCATAATCTTTTTTTAAAAAATTAATTAATTTATTTATACAAGCACTGGGTACAGTCGGAAGCGCGGGAGGGTGAGAGAATTCACGAGAGCCAGAGCGGGGAACAGAACAGGCAGACTGACAAAATACACTGCTGAGGGGAGCAGCGGGCATGGCAGGAGACGTCTACGCACCATGTGGGACCCTCTCCCGGTGGCCGGGGATCAAACTGGTGCTACAGAGGCTGCGGGCAGCTTCGAAGTCCAGCGCTTAACTGCTGCACCACCAGGGGAGGCCCAAAATAGGCATAATCTTTAACGCGTACAATAAATACAAAACTTACAAATGTATAAACCCAGTGATCCATAAATTCCACTTTTAGGAATCTGTACCACAGAAAGACTTGCAAATGTTCAAAATGACACTACTGATAATTGGAATCAGCAGAGGACTGTAAACTACCCTGAATTATCCAACAATGGGTCTGATTAACAGTAAATATGTGTGTTATATACTTATAAAAAAGCTCATTTGGAGATGCTTTATATCCTGATATAGAATGACAGTGAATACATACTAGTGGGTAAAAAAAACTCACATTCAAAAAAAAAACACAAAAAGAACATTTATAGGATTTGTCCATTTTTTATAGAAGAGAAGTTAGGAGGAAAGTGAAGAGTAAGAAATTAGTAACATCTGATGCCTTTGAGAGAAACTTGATGGCTGGGAAGGAGTTTTTGTCTCATTGTGTATAATTTTGTATAGTTTGAATTTGGACTAAAGAGATTGATTGAGTTTCCTATTTTAAAAAGAAATTGTAATAAAACCTTGTTACAATTTCCTTGCATAGTCTTAAACACTATGCACAAACAAAAGCATGCTTTCTACCTTTGGGGGTGGGAGAGTGGGGACTTGAATTTAGCAGTCCTTAGAAGAGGGGAAAAAAAAACAACAGTAATACTGTATGAGGCAAATATCAATATTTTTCCTTTTTTGTATTTTTTATTCTTTTCATTATTTTTTTGTTTGTTTCTTTTCAAACACTTATGTCAAGGACTGACTTTCAATAGATCGCAGTGAGGGAGTTGCTCTGCTATGAATGAAATCCCGAATATTTTTTTTTTTTTTTTTTTTTTTTTAAAGATTTATTTTATTTATTTATACAAGCACTGGGTACAGTCAGAAGCACGGGAGGGTGAGAGAATTCACCAGAGCCAGAGCGGGGAGCAGAGCAGGCAGAAGGACCGAAGTACACTGCTGAGGGGAGCAGCGGGCGGCAGGAGAGGTCTGCGTGCCATGTGGGACCCTCCTCCGGTGGCCGGGGAGCAGCCGGGGATCGAACCGGCGCTGCAGAGGCAGCGGGCAGCTTCGCAACCCAGCGCTCAACCGCTGCGCCACCAGGGAGGCCCCGGAATATTTTTCTTAAAGTTGGAAAAGTTTCGGTTTGTTTACACTGGCTAAATTTTCTTTTGTGAAATAACTGATCTCATCATTTTAAGAAAAGTTGAGTGGAGAAACGTTCTGTCCAATCCTAACGTTAGCAGTTAAATTTTATACATAAAGGAAAATAGCTTTTATCATTTAAACAGATCATACAACTTGTTGAAAAACCTACCTCTCTCTGTACTTGCTCAATTTGCTTTTTGGCATCAGCCAACTTCTCTTTCAGTTCAGCATATTCTTCTTCCTTGCTCTGAAGATCTGCTTTTAGATTCTGGGTCAGAGCAGAGCTTGCTGCGAGTTCCTCCTTTAATCTAAAAAACACAAATTATTTTTCTATATTGACACATGACTACGCATTTAGGATTTATGTGTCTGAGCTAGTATCAATCTATAAATTATATCCTTTTATAACTTAGTCAAACCATGAATGAGAGAGGAATTCACAAGATTTTATAAACAGGTTTTTGCATCAAATTTTTGGTTCCAAAGACACGTGACATACATCAAAATATTAAATTATGCCAATCTAAATAATTTAAAGATAGGAAATAAAAAAAAAAATCAATGTTTTGCATATTTTAAAAACATTTAGCTTACTTTTCTGTTTCCCGCCAGTTGGTTTCTTTTTCTTCTTCCTTTAATTGAAGCAAATGCTTTGCATCTTGCAAATTAGCTGTCAATTGTGTGATTTCTTCTCTCATTTGGACTTTCCTTTCACTTAAATCTTTGGTGTTTTTGATAGAATCTTGAAGATCTGCTTGTAATTCCTTCAGATTTCTTTCTAGCTTTACAATTATTGACTCCTTTTCCAAAATTTCTTTTTCTAACTTGGGTAAGAAACTACATTCATCTTTCTGAGTTTCTAAGATTGCTTCAAGTTCTTTTATTTTCACCTTGTAGCAAGTGACATCTTGTGAAAGTTCTGAAAGTTCTCTCTTTCCTTCAACTACAAGCTGTGCTTGAACTTCAAGACTAACGATTTTTTCTTGCAATTCTTCCTTCAGCTGTTTTATATGATTTTCTTTTTCTTTTAGTAGGTCATCTTGATTTTTATTCTTCCTCTCCTCTGTTTTTAGTCTATTGTTTTCATCCTTAGAGTCTTTTAATTCGGATTGTAATATTTCAATTTGTTGTTCTAGTTCTTGGATCTGCTGAGTTTTTTTGGAGGAGGTCTTTACAATTTCTTTGCACTCCTCCCAAATGGCTTCAATACTAGAGTGGAAAGAACTTTCCCTACCGAGTTCTTGAATATGATCGTCTTTAATCTGCTTATTTGCCAAATAATCGTTATCTACAAGGTATAAGTGTGCTTTGGGGGAATTACTCTCTTGAGAACCACTTGACCGTTCTCTAAGATGGAGCAAATCTATGTTTGAAATTTGAGAAACTGAATCCAGCTTACGTAGTTCATCTATTTTTGCTTGCATTAATTTTATTTGTGAAACATTATTTGTAATGTTTCTTTTAGCGCCTTCTATCTCCTCTGACAATTTCATGATCTTTTCCTCCTGTTCTTGATTTATACCCTTCTGTATATGTAATTCAGAAACTGCATTGTCATAATTTGACTGAATGTGCTGGACCTCTAAACTAAAAGTAAGATTCTTTTTTTCAGAAAAAGAAAGTTCCTGCTGCAATCGAATGATTTGTCTGTTTAATTCTGCTTTTTCTCCCTTTTCATTTTTAAGTTCATTCTCAACAACGAGTAAACGTGTTTTCAGCTCTTCATTATCTTCTTGTAAAACTCTAATATCTTCCCTATCTTCTGAAATACTCTGTTGTATTTCTTCACTCCTTTGCTCTTCTGTTATAGTTGGACTAACATGTATAGGTCCTTAAAAAAATAAGAAAATTTGTATTAATCTGACAAATCTTAATAAAACCAAAAAGTTGGGCCTCCCCGGTGGCGCAGCGGTTGAGCGCTGGGTTGCGAAGCTGCCCGCGGCCTCTGCGGCGCTGGTTCGATCCCCGGCTGCTCCCCGGCCACCAGAGGAGGGTCCCACATGGCGCGCAGACCTCTCCTGCCGCCCGCTGCTCCCCTCAGCAGTGTGCTTCGGTCCTTCTGCCTGCTCTGCTCCCCGCTCTGGCTCTGGTGAATTCTCTCACCTTCCCGCGCTTCTGACTGTACCCAGTGCATGTATAAACAAAACAAGCAAACAAACAAAATAAATAAATAAAACATGCCTCTATTTAAAAAAAAAAAAAAAAAAAAAAACCAAAAAGTTACCATACTAGCCAACATTAATACATAGGAAATATATAAACATTTTTTTTAAAAAAGATTTCTCTCTCTCAAATTTTTTTTTTTTTTTTTTTTTTTTTTTAGGGCCTCCCTGGTGGCGCAGCGGTTGAGCGCTGGGTTGCGAAGCTGCCCGCAGCTTCTGCAGCGCCGGTTCGTTCCCCAGCTGCTCCCCGGCCACCAGAGGAGGGTCCCACATTGGCGCGCAGACCTCTCCTGCCGCCCGCTGCCCCCCTCAGCAGTGTACTTTGGTCCTTCTGTCTGCCCTGCTCCCCACTATGGCTCTGGTGAATTCTCTCACCCTCCCGTGCTTCTGACTGTGCCCAGTGCTTGTATAAATAAATCTTTAAAAAAAAAAAAAAGTAGCAACTGCTAAAAAAAAAAATTAAAGAAAAAAATTTTTTTAAATGAAAAACAGAAATAAGTTTATTGAGTGAAAAAGAAAGGTTGCAAAACTAAGATGGTATAAAGCTTTGTATATATAAATTAAAGCCCCCAAAGTTAATGAGAAGAGCAAAGAGATAAAAAAATGATAGCTTCTGGAGTAGGATTACTTACTATGTAAGTTTTTATTATGTGTAACGTACATGTTGTCTTTTGCCTCTAAGAGGAGGAAAGAAGCATCGTGTTACCCCTGCTCTAAAGTTTCACTTTCTTAAAAATTGCTGATTTATTTTTGAGACTTTTGTTTGTAGCTTTATTTTCTTAACTTATTTCCTCAAGATTTTTGGTTTATTATTCTAAGGATTCTAGCTAATCTGGAATCTTGAAGATTTACCCTTATTTAACTTTTACAACAAACTTCATCAGATTGTCTCCTAACATCATAACATCTTAACAAAGGCAAGTCATCTCAAAGTAGAATAAGTCTTCTCCACTGATTCAGACTTTTGTTCTACTTTCCATTTAATGTAATTCTCTGTGCACTATATGAATCTAATCCTAAAATCCTGAATCGAATAAAGAAAATTCAATTTTGTGATCAAATAATGCTGTTCTCTTAATTCTGCTATATGTTAAACACTAGGATGACTACATAATGTAAGGTAAATCAAATTAATTTGCACTGCATTTTCCTTTTCATTTAATGTTTTACATCTTAAGATTTATAGAACATATTCAAGTAAAGATGGGCGAAAGACTCTAAGTATCTACAATGTTAATTTACAAAGAGCAAACATAAACAGTAGAAATGAATGGTAAAAAGTTGATTAAATATTTATACTACATTCAACCTATACTTATATTCCTTATCGATATTTGTTTTAAGAAAATAATTTTGATTGAAAAAAATCACAGGTATTCAGATTATGTCATAACTCTGGTCTGTCTTCTCTCTGAAGGCTTTTTCTTATACTGTTTACATGATTACCAGCTTCCCCAAACTACAGTACAGTGACTTCAAACAAGTAAATTCACTTTCATAGGGAACAGAGAACAGGTATCTTATAAAACTAACAACTCTCTCATCTCTACTTCAGTGATTATACAGAAGTTCCTATCTAGTTCTGGAGATTTTTTTGTAGCAGATAGAGGGGAAAGAGGGTGGTGATATTTATAATTTTTATATGATCATTTATGTAATCTCTATAATCTCTAAAAACAGATTTTAGAAATAACCACAAACGTTATAAATTTAAGGAGAAAAACTATTTTATTAAGTTACTTAAATTTACTTAAAGCTACCCATATCCAAATTATTCATGGTATTAAAAACTATAGTTCTAACATAGTCAACTTCTTTTGAATGGGTTACCCTTGGGATTAGTCATAATGTGTAGATCACTTATTTCTGATGACTTCTGCTTCCTTTTCATTGATTTTACATTCCCAATTACTTTATGGCACTAACCAATGTGAAAGAGAGGAACAGTGCTCTGGAAATCACAGCAAAGTTATTCTTCCCGTAGCTGAAGTACCTTCTTCAATGGTAACTAAAAGCTGATTATGCATATTAGTTTGTTAGCATGCACATACACTGTATATCCTACAAACCAAGCATGCAAATGACACATCGTGTGTGTATGCGTGTGTTGGTAGCGATAACATCAGTTTGCAATACTGTATGTGTTTTAGGAGGGCAGATTCACACCTCTTCAAATGCATGTCTCCACTATATTATTCTTGAAGGCATCTGCTTTTGAAAACATTCATTTCACTGGGGTTCTATGAGGATTTATTATGTTGGTGTACTACTCAATTCTTGAGAAATTCAGGAATCAGAAAGCATTTTTATTTCACTAATGATGAAAAGTAAGACATCAATTTTTCTTAAGCAGCAAGTGAGGTTTTATAAAACCAATTGATATATTTTTTCTATAGAAATCCTTATCTCCCAGTGTATTACAAATGTTTTCTAAAAGAAATAATAACTTTGTGAAAACACAAAAGGTGACATGTTCTTTCACATAAATAGGAAGATATAGTATCAAATAAGCATGTATTTCTCTGCCCTTTTCAGTAGTTCTACAGTTAATACAATTTGGACCGTACCCTTTTCTTGAGATATATAAAGAATGCAAAGGAAATAAAACAATATGGAGAGATTTTGGCAGAAAAAGGTACTACAATTATGAAAATGAAAGTGTTGAGTTTTAAATATTGTAAACACATTGGTAAAAGGATAACAGCATACAAAAGTGATAAAAGTACAATATCTAAAAAAATTATTAAAATAAGGGCAGTTTTAAATATAACTATCCTCTAGACACAAAATTTTTGTGACACTTAGATTTCTGTTTTTTTCCTCAGACGAGTAAATTTCATCCTACTTACAACTTTTCTGTTTACTGGTTTAGTAATTAGCTTTCTTAGAAACCTCCTGTTGGCTGAAGTAGTACCTTTCTTTGGAGGTGGTTCATCATGTCGAAGATCATTTTCACTTAATCTTTTTCTTCCTGAACAATTTTCAGTTTTATTGTCCTTAGGCATTTCAAGTGTTTCATTACATTCCAATTTACTGTTTATTATTAAAGAAGATATACCAGCCTCATCCTAAAGTAAAATAAAATTAGATTATTCACATATATAAAGCAATAATAAATGTAAAAACTTTTTTGGTAATAGATGTTTCAATTTTATAAAATTTCATTTTCACATTCATTGAAAAATTTTTGTTTTTTAAGTTCCAAACACATTAATTAATTCATTCCTTCATTTGCATAGAAGAAATGGGGTACAGGACAGAGGTGGGGAGTGGGGGAGAGAGAGGATTCACCAGAGACAGAGTGGGAAGCAGAATAGGCAGATTAACTGAAATACACTGCTAAGGGGAGCAGGGGGTGAGACAGGAGAGGTCTGCTGTGCCATGTGGGTTAGCTTCCTGGTCGGGGATTGAACTTAGGCTGTAGTGGTGATACTGATGAGACTTAACCCCTAGGTCACCAGGGAAGGCCCCTGAAAAAACTTTCATGGCCATCCTTGAAAAGATGTATGAGGGTACAGGCACTTACTTTTCAGTTTTTAAATCACTTTCATTTATTAGTTTTTCTTAAATTATTTTAAAAATAAATGCAGTCATAATGCATGCCCCTTTAATACTTATTAAGTCCCTTTTCAAGACAAATAAAGCTTAAAATTACCTTATTAGATTTCTCAAGCTCTTCAGTCAATGAATTTAAGTTAATTTCTGAATCTGAAAAAGTAGGAATATTGAAATGATTTAAACATTCAAAAACATTTATCGCTTAATGATCATGAAAAAAATTCACTTTCAAAAATGTAGAGGCACAGTAACTGCTACTTCCCACCATCTTATTTAAAACAGAAAAGGGCATCACATTTCGTCTAATTGTACATATACCCACACACACACACACACATACACACACAGAGCTATAATGAGGCACTAATCTAACAGTTTGTAAGACCACCCTATAGTAGTCACTGTCTCCCAAACTTGCAAACCTCAAGTAGTAGCTACTAAACCAGAATTCCTATACCAGGAGAGTTTGTATATGATATAGAACAAAACTTGCAGATTTATGATTTTCTGTGAGATATTAAAATTTGCTGATAAAAACTAATAGTGGTTTTCTTTTTTGAGAAATCCATTTCCTCATATTAGTCTAAAACCAAATTAAAGGAAAAATACTTATAATAGTAAATTACTACAAATTCATAGAAACTGTAAAATATTAAAATTGTTAGCTACAAAGAATTTTATGGTCACTATTTCCTGGCCTAACAAGCTGCATGAATCTCTTATACTCACCAACTGTTTTTTATGCATTTGTAACAATTGGATAGAGGTAAAATTATCTACTTACCATTTTTTCTCTTTTTTAACTCTTCCTGGGCTTTGATTAATTCCTCTTTGGTTTGAGTTAATTCAGTTTTAACATGATTATACTTTAGTTCTAAATAAGCAATAGCTTCCTGGGGGTCAGCAAGAGATGCAATATATGAGTGAGCAATTTCAGCCTGTTTCTTAATATCAGTGACATCATCTTGAAGAGACTCAATAATATCTTCAATTCCTATATAATTATGTTTCTCCTAAAAATAGCAAAAACCACATGACTAATGTTAACAGTGGCTTTTACTACTTCTCTATGGTATATCATGATTTATAGACATTTTTAAGAACACCTAACAAAATAATTCATAATTTGCAATTAAAAAATAACATGTCTAAATCTACTATTATGGGAAAGATATTTGCTTTTTAATTTTTTCCTACAAAAATGTCATAAATGGTATTAAGTGGTTATCAAACAACTATGATTCTCTAGTTCAGGTACATTTTGTTATATAATGAGTCTTAAAAGGTTTTGTTGGGATAACCAAAGAAACAAACCTCTATTTTTAAACTCAGTACAAGACCCAAACCTGTCAGGCACATAATGATGGACATAGGAAGAACCTGGGCATCATCCATTCCAGGCTCTTGCAGAGTAATTATAAAACAAAACAAAAACAAGGAACATCCGCCTCCCAAAGACATAGTCAATTTCAACTTCAGTGAGGTAGCAAAGAAGGACCGGTTCTCAACAGTAGGGAATGATAATTGGCCAACAAGAGCAACCCATTTCATATAAATAGTTTGCTTTAATTAGAGTATTAAGTTAATTGCTCTTCAGGTTCCTTATAATCAGACAAACAGAAATTTACCTACCGATAAGCAATATAACGATTCAAGCAACATAAAAATGCTATAAAAGTAACAAATATTAATTTTTCCCAAGTCCAACAGCTATATTTAAACTATCTAAAGTTCATTCCTGAAAAGCATGCTTAATTACAATAAAACTACATGTTTCTTATCATTGTTGTGGTAAACTAACTCCTGATACAAAATGCTGGATTGGTTTTAACATACTTTGGTTTCAACTTTCATGGCCTGATCTTCATTGGATGGTTCTTCTTGAATGTCAAAATTACCAACCAACTCCTTGAAAATAGCCAAACGACATTCAGCATTTTCTTCTAATAGCTCTCGTTCCTGAAGGAGAGTTTCCCTTCATAACACAAATCAATCCCATTAAGAAACAGAGAAAGTACAGGTTGTATTTGTTTTAAATGGCTATAATTAAGTACATTATAAATTACACTTGATCTTAGCCAAAAGGCTGAAGAAGCAATTCTATTATAAATTAAAAGCAGGTTTAAGTAGTCATTCACATATAATTCAGAATCACCACAGGAGTTAGTAACAGCTATTTTCAGGTATGCATGAATAAGAGATCACAAATAAGATACACAAGCCATCTAATTTAAAATAAATAAGCTAAAAAATATTTAAGTAAATGAAAATTTCAATCTTTGCCACTACATAAAAGAAATCACTTACTTGAAGTCAGCTTCCCGTTGAGCCAAAAATCGAGTAAACTCCTCTGTAACTTCTTCACGAATTTTAAATTCTAATGTTAATTTTTCTTTTCTTTCATTTATTAACCTTTTTTTCAAGTCTTCTATTAAGTCCAGCAGTTTCTATAATATATACATATGCAAATTCTAGTAACAGAACAAGTATATCTCAAGAGAAATACTGCCCAAATGTTCAAAAGCAAAACTCTGTTTATTTAGGCAATTATATCTGCTCTTAATAGCAGCTAACAATAGTCTCACTGACAATTTTGAATTTGTAGACATTCACTAATCTGAAAACTCAGGTGGAAAAAACCACTCTAAATTTTTGAAATGGACATAAAATTCATATGTCTAAGCTAGTCACATTAAGAAAGAAAAAGAAAATTTGAACATATATTATCCACTGGGAATTATTTTGAGTTCATATTTCATTTTATTTAATTCACATAATATTCTGTGAGGTTAGTTACTACTACATCCAATTTCAGAGGTGGGGAAGGTAAGGACCAGGTCTTTACTTATAGTTGGGTCTAAAGTTAATCTGCCAAGGAATAAGTAGAAATAATTATACGGGAGGAAACAAAAGTAGTAATCAAGTTTCCAACAAACAAAAGCCCAGTACCAGATGGTTTCACTAGTGAGTTTTACCAAACCTCCAAGGACAAACTAATCCCTACTCGTCTCATAAAACTTTCAATATATTAAGAGGGAATGCTTTCAAACATAGTCTATGAGGCCAACAACACTCTGATAACAAAACTAAACACATCAGAAAGAAAAAAATTATAGACCAATATCCCTGATGAACACAGATATAAAAATCCTCAAGATCTTGGGAAAGTGAATTCAACAAAATATCAGAAGGATCATACATCATAACCACACTGGAGGTATTCCAGGGACACACAGATGGTTCAAGAGCAGAAATTTAATCAATGTAATTCACATTAACAAAAGGAAAGAAAATTGTATGGCAAGATCAATAGATGCAGAGAAAGCATTTGATATGAATCAACATCCATTTATATAAGAAACACTCAAAAAAAATCTGAAAGATGGAACATACCTCCACATAATAAAGGCCCTATATGACAAATGTGTGGCTAACATAATACTCAATGGTGTAAGTCTGAAAGCCTTTACTCTAAGACCTGGCATAAGACAAGGATGATCACTTTCACCACTACTATTCAACACATTATTGGAAGTAATCAGGGAAAGACACAAAGGAATTCAAATTGGGAAAGAAGTACTACTATCACTATTTACAGATGACATGACAATATAGATAGAAAACTTAAAAAATTCTCTAAAATAAAAATTGAATAAATTAATACAGTAAAGCGTCAGTCTACAAAATTTACAAAAACCAGTTGTGCTTCTATATGCAAACAAGCTAGAAGAGAAAGAAATCAAGAAAACAATCTCATCAATTGCATCAAAAATAATTAAATAACTAGTAGTAAACTTAACAAATGAGGTGAAGAACCTGTATGATAAAAATCGTAAGACACTGGTAAAAGAAATAGAAGACAAAAATATGGAAAGATGGTCCCTGCTCATGGACTGGAAGAATTAACATTAAAATGGTGATCTCACCTAAAGCAATGTATAGATTCAATGCAAACCCTATCAAGACTCTAAAGGCATTCTTCAAAGAAATAGCACAAGCATTATTGAAATTCATATGGACCCACAAGAGCCCCAGAACAATCAAAACAATCCTGACAAAAAAAAACAAGAGATAGTAACACAATTCCAGACTTCAACTATACTACAAAGCCATAGAAATTAAAACAGTATGATACCAGAACAAAAAAAGACACACAGACCAATGGGATAGGATTAAAACCCCACAAATAAACACAGATAACCTACAAAAAGGAGACAGGAATATACACTGGAGAAAAGAAAGTCTCTTCAATAAGTGGTGTTGGGAGAAGTGGTCAGCCACATATAAAAGAATGAAACTAGATCACCATCTCATACCTTATTAAAAAAATTAGCTCAAAATGCATTAAAGACAAGAACATAAGACCCAAAATCATAAATAGCAATGAAGAAAAAAATAGCTAAAATACTCCATGATGTTGGCTTCATCTTTGTGGATTTGCTCCCATCAGTAAGAGAAACAAAAGTGAATATAAAAAAAAAAAATGGCACTAAGGGGTTAAGAAGCAACTTACGAAGCTATCCACAGCCACTGGAGCACAAGTTCAATCCCTGGCCACGGAGCTACCCACTGGCACAGCAGACCTCTCCAGTCTCACCAGCTGCTCCCCTCAGCAGTGATCTGCCTGTTCTGTTCCCCACTCTGTCTCTGGTGAATCCTCTCACTCCCCACATTTCTGGCCTGCACCCCAGTTCTTGTATGCATAAATAAATCTTAAAAAAAAAATAAAAAAGCATTTCTTTAAAAAAAAAAATAAAAAAATAAAAAAAATGGCACTACGAAAAACTTTTTTTTATAGCAAATGAAACTATCATGAAGACAAAAAAGACACCCTACGGAATGGCAGAAAATATTTGTGCATCATATATCTGACCAGGGCTGATATGAAAGATCTATGAAGAACTCACGCAATTCAACGAAGATAACAAAAACTCAATTTGAAAAAATGGGCAGAACAGCTAATGGTTCTTTTTTTTTTTTTAAAGATTTATTTATTTATTTATACAAGCACTGGCTACAGTCAGAAGCATGGGAGGGTGAGAGAATTCACCAGAGCCAGAGTGGGGAGCAGAACAGGCAGAAGGACAGAAGTACACTGCTGAGGGGAGCAGCGGGTATGGCAGGAGAGGTCTGCATACCATGTGGGACCCTTGCCGGTGGCCGGGGATCGAATCGGCGCTGCGGAGGCTGCGGGCAGCTTTGCAGCCCAGCGCTCAACCGCTGCGCCACCAGGGGAGGCCCCAGCTAATGGTTCCTATCCAAAGAACATACATAGATGGTCAACAGGAACATGAAAATTGCTCATTATCATTTATCATGATTTGCTACAAATCAAAACCCCAATGAGATACAATCTCACACACGTGAAATCAAATCAAAAAGCCCCCAAACAGTAAATGTTGGCAAGCATGTGGAGAAAAAGGAAACCTCATACACTGTTGGTGGGAATGTAAATTGGGAATGCCCTTATGGAAAATATTACAGTGTGGTGGTTTCTCAAAATAATAAAAACAAATCTATCATCCAGGCCAGCAATTCTAGTCCTAGGGATATAAAAAAAGAATGCAAAAACACTAGTTAGAAAGGATATATGCATGCTTATGTTCAATGTAGCACCATATACAATAATCAAGTTATGAAAATAATCTAAGTACCTAAGAATAGGTGAATGAATTAACATCTGTCATATATGCACAATGGACTACTATTGAGCAATAAAAATAAACAGTTGCCATTTTCAGCAACAGAACTGAAAGACCTCATGCGAAGAGAAATCAGAAGGAAAAAGACAAATATTGTATGGTTTCACTGATACATGAGACAGAAAGAAAACAAAGATCGATCAAAACCAATTAAAAAAAATACTAGAAAAGTGTCTGTAGAATTAAAATTACCAGAAGGTGAGGGGGTGCAAAGCAAAGTTTGACCCAATGGACTATGGTGGAGGACTAAGGGTTCCTTGGTTGTAGGTATAGTGTGGTGACATGCATTTGAGGACATGTGATCCTATATCTCTGGATCATACAGTGTTATAAACCAGTTACCCTAATAAAAATAACAAAATAAAATAACTGTCAAAATCTAAAGTCCAAGTGTTAAACAGAGTAGTTAATAAGAATCCCTAAACACTATCCAAAATGGTACAGAACTATCTTATCCTAAAGGGCTTTTAAATAACACTTGATACAGATATAATAAATAACAGCACAGACTTGCAATAAAATAAATTACAGCATTAAGAAAACAGCTTGAAACTCATTTTTTTCGAAGTAATATCATTTTACAGAGTTGTTTGTGTTTTAGAGGTATAGAATCTTCCCCTTCAGCTGTTGTTACTATACCACACCCACTACCCCAGCACCCACAGTCAGTGTTTTTTTTTAAAGGTTTCTGTTAAGTTTCTCAATAATAAATTAATCAATTCTCAAAAGTACAGCTCTTTCAATGTTCAATATCATATCTGAAGTATTTCTATAGCTATTGTGACTTAGGAATTTAACTTCTAACAATTTATACTGAAGAAACAATTACATAATAGGATGCAGTTGTAAGGTATCATTTCTGCATCTTGTTTTTAAATGGTACAAGCCAAAAAAAAAAAAAAATTATATTCACATACCCAAAGAAAGAAAAGTAATATGGTAAAATTGGCAAATCCAGGTGAAGTGTAAGTGGGTGCTCATTGTATTAAATATGAAGTCGAGAAATAAAACATTTAACTGTTGGAAAAAATGGAAGCTCTCAGAATTGTTAACCCTTATGTCAGAATAATAAACCAAGTTTAGAAGTATGAGTTCTCAATACATACTTTCTTTCCCGGAAGCTCTCAGAATTGTTAACCCTTATGTCAGAATAATAAAACAAGTTTAGAAGTGTGAGTTCTTATACGTACTTTCTTTCCCTCGTGGCTTATGAAAGACTTATCATCCTCTAATGTTTTATCCAGATCTTCATCATTAAGTTCAGTTTGCACATTTTGGTTTTCTTCAGTGTTTTCTAGATCGTCGACCAAATCTTCATCTTCTACCAGATCTTCTAGACTACTTTCCCATGAAATTGTGGATCTTTTTATATTTAATATTTTATTATCTGAATTATTATCCAGTGATACATCTTGAGATGATTTGGTAGGTTCAAATGATTTCTCTTGCGAGGTATTTAAAGTTTCTGGAACACAAACCTGTTAAGATATCCAATGTGACTTTTAAAATAGAAAAGAGCATGAACTGTCCATGAAATAAATCTTATAAATTTAAGTCCAATGATAATACGAGCGCTTTTAAAGAATCTAAGCAAAGAAACATACAAGAATTAGCATCCTCAAATAAGTATTTCTGAAAGAAAGAGCTAATTATTTATGTATTCCACAGGAAATTTTACTTTCCTGGGTTCAGTTCTTAGTGCTATTCCAAGTAGGGAGTTGCCCAATTAGCCACTAAATGAACCAAATGGATGGCAGAGCTGACAATATATTGCAAGAATACTTATAATTTATAAGGGGGATTTATTATTAACACTTTTAACTGAAGTAATCTTAATCCAAGCAGAGATGACTTTCAATCTTTTCCATATACTCCCTTGTCAAATATTGACCGTTTTAATTTTCAATTACTTCCCCCAAACTATAGTTTAATGTGAAAAACTTATATCTCACACTTGTGAAAAATGGCTTACATCAAAAGGACTGCTAATAACATGTGTTGGTGAGGATGTGAAGAAAGAGGCACCCTTCTACATCAATGGTGAGTATGCAAATTTGCACAGCTGTTTTTGATAGTAAGGGTCTTTTTCAAAAATACTAAAAATATAGCTACCATATGATCCAGCAATCTCTCTTGTAGGTATCAATCCAAAGAATAGGATAGCATCAACTCAGTTAAATGCACCATCATGTTTATTGCAGCATTACTTACAATAGCTAAGATATGGAGGCAACCCACTGCTAGATGATTGGATAAAGTGTGGCATGCATACAAAATAGAATACTATTCAAGAACATAAAAAAAGATGAAAGTTTGCCATCTGCATCAAAATAGAAGACACTTAAGGAGAATGAGTATGTCAAGTGAATTAGTTAGAAAAATACTGAATGATTTCATCTACATGTGTAGTATTAAAAAAAAAACACTATGGGGCCTCCCCTGGTGGTGCAGCGGTTGAGCGCTGGGCTGCGAAGCTGCCCGCAGCCTCTGCAGCGCTGGTTCAATCCATGGCCGCTAGGAGGGTCCCACATGGTGCAACAGACCTCTCCTGCCGTGCTCGCTGCTCCCCTCAGCAGTGTATTTCTTCATCAGTCTGACTGTTCTGTTCCTGGCTCTGGTGAATTCTCTCACCCTCCCGCGCTTCTGACTGTACCCAGTGCTTGCATAAATAAATAAATAAATAAATAAATAAATAAATAAATAAATCTTAAAAACAAACAAACCACTATGCACATAAATGGACAAAACAAAATAATCCAGTAGACATTAAAAACCAAAATGAAGTCACCAAAAGTGAAAGGGGTGGGAAGGGATGGTGGGAGAAGGGTGGATGGAGTCTAATGAGTGGTGTTTACGGTTTTTGTTTTTCTTTAAAAAATGAAACTAAATCTAGTATTTACTACCAGGGAAGATAATCACTAATATTCTAATAAAGGCTTAATAAATGCTATAGAAATTTGAATATATTTACTTTTTGTGCAATGGCTGAGAACTTCAACACATTGAGTGTTTCATCATAGGCAAAACAACACTGACTGATGTTGACAATCATACATATTTTTCCTTTACCGTTAAAAAAACTTTGAAAATAGTGGGTCAGTTTACTTTCTCGGAAAGGCACATGCTGTTGAAACCTATGGGAAAAAATTTCAAACATTAAGTTAAAACAAATCCCATGAAGTCAGAATGCTGATAGATGTACAAAGAAATTATTAACCTACCATCACAACCTTAAATTCTAGGTTAGTGACTAATTCCAATTGTAATAATTTTCCTTATGTTTTCTTTAAATACTACTACTGCTGCTGCTGCTGCTGCTAAATACCTCCACCACCACCACCACCACCAATAAATCCATTAGGCAAAATGTAAAGAAAATCACACTGGATAGGGTTGAGTTCTCTAATATGGAGCTATTATACAACAGAAGCCATGAAACACCTTAACTATCAGTGATGAAGCATGATTTATAATTTATTCAGTCAAAAATGCTAATTAAAGCAAAAATCTATCACATCTAGAAAAACACATGCATTAATAAGTATAAAGTAGGGCCTCCCCGGTGGCGCAGCGCGTTGAGCACAGCACTGTGAAGCTGTCCGCAGCCTCTGTACCGCAGGTTTGATTCCCCACCAGCCAGGGAGAAACCCACATGGTGCTGCAGACTTCTCCTGCCTTGCCCACTGCTCCCCTTAGCAGTGTACTTCGGTCCTTCTGCCTGTTTTGCTCCCTGCTCTGGCTCTGGTGAATTCTCTCAGCCTCCTGCGCTTCTGACTGTACCCAGTGCTTGTATAAACAAACCAATCTTAAAAATAAACAAATAAATAAATAATAAAGTAGTTTTATTAAAAAAATTTATTTATACAAGCACTGGGTACAGTCAGAAGCACAGGAAGGTGAGAGAATTCACCAGAGCCAGAGCAGGGAGCAGCGGGCATGGCAGGAGAGGTCTGCGTGCAATGTGGGACCATCACAGGCGGCCGGGGATCGAACAGGTGCTTCAGAGGCTGCAGGCAGCTTCGCAGCCCAGCGCTCAACAGCTGCACCACCGGGGGAGCCCAATAAAGTAGTTTTAGATGCTAAACCAGCATTATGAGAAGATTATTTTAAGAATCTGTTGATATGTACTTGCAATGGAACATGCTGGGTTTCACTTGATGAGTCACTAGCATCAACTGACATTGTCTTTTATTTCTATGAATTTTTAAAAATCCAAGATCGCTAAGCATTTTAATCATAATCCATACATAACAATTACACAAGAAATAGGTAAAACAAAAAAGTAATAATCCTTAATGTTAATAATGATTTCAATCAGACTTACCTTGACTTTTCACTGTTCTTCAAAACATTAATACACTTTCCCAGAGTCAATAAAGAAGTGTTGATATTCCCAGTCTCTCTTAACCTTTCACCTTCATTCTGTGTCTTCACACTTCGTTCTGAACCAGCCAGATCACATAAAGACAATCTGAATTAACAACAACAACAGAACTTTAAAAGTTCTTCAAAATAAACAATTCCAAATAATTACAATTTAAAGAATGCTCAACTTACTCACTGACTCGCATCACACGAGGCATTTCAGAATCTTCAATCTGTAATATTCTAATACTGAATATGCTGTGACTAAAAGAAATATACCAAGATCAATTGTTATCTTTCATTTTTAATTTCTTCTCAATAGAAGCAAGGATAAAATTGACATCTATTCATATGCTAATACTAGCCATATTTTAACCCACTGTTCCAGTGCCACATACCCAATTGCTTAAAATCAAACACCTTTCACTTAGCCCAAATCAATTGAACCTACTCCTTCCTCTTAACATTACTGCTTCTGTTAATGGAGCCATTTATAATAAAATCTCAACTTGCTTGCAAGAATAATAAAGTGGGGCCTCCCCGGTGGCGCAGCAGTTGAGCGCTGGGTTGCGAAGCTGCCCGCGGCCTCTGCGGCGCCGGTATGATCCCCGGCTGCTACCCGGCCACCAGAGGAGGGTCTCGCATGGCGCGCAGACCTCTCCTGCCGTCCGCTGCTCCTCTCAGCAGTGTACTTCGGTCCTTCTGCCTGCTCTGCTCCCCGCTCTGGCTCTGGCGAATTCTCTCACCCTCCCGCGCTTCTGACTGTACCCAGCGCTTGTATGTATAAATAAATAAATAAATCTTAAGCAAAAACAAAACCAAAAAAACCCTTATTTTTTTTTAAAAAAAAAAGAATAATAAAATGGCATTATATGTTGCTAATCTCTCGATATATGTCTATAACAAAGCTCACATCTGCTTTAAATATAGGCTTATTTGGATCATATTTTATCCTCTTCTCATACTTAAGTATGAGGGACAGGGATCTTTCTCCCGTAAGATAAACCTATTTTAAATACTCTGCAGCTTAAATTTATTTCCTTTAGTGTCTTATCCACAATCCCTTCCATCAGTAACATCATCCTTCTTTAACCTCTTGAAATTTTGGCTTAGCTCAATATGCATAAAATGTCTGTCTTTGGGTGAATGATGATGACACATAGAAGTCCACCATTACAGACATCTCTGAAGATACTAATATCCTCACTAAAAAAAAAAAAAAGAGTAAAAACACTTCCGGGACTTTGCAGTAAATCCAAAGTAAAACAAAGAAACAGTCCTCATGATCTTATTAATAGTGTTCTTCATATTACAATGGTTTTATGCCTATGAATTCATTTAATATACCAGAACTTACTGACATTTTAATCTTAATTAGTATTTAAATTAGTACAAAATACTCTGGTGCTTCAGGCTTATACCATAAGTTTACTCCTTACCTTCTACTGGAAGCATTGTTCAATTTTGTGAAGGCAACACTTTGGTGCTTTATTCCTAGTTTTAAAAGTCGATATGCTTCTTTGGAATCAGACACTTGAATCCACTGTAGGTCTTTAAAAAATAGAGGACATATTGATTTATAAAAACACAGCATTTGTTATAACAATGCAATCGCTAAAGATTATATCTCACAATCTCTTTTCCCAAAGCCACAAACAGAAATTTTCCTTATAATAATTTTCCTTTTAATAGCTATTCCATATTCCACTAGAAAACGCATACACAAGAAGAGGCCATTATAATAATGTCAGTATAAGTTAAACAAAAACAGGTAAGACTCCTTAAAAGTTGATATCCAGAAAAAAGACATAATACAGTACAGATTAAACTTATAAAATTACCTAACTGTGAGACATTATAGATTACAATTTATCAGTGAATAATTAAATCAAGTGTATTAAGGTATAATCACATTTTATAAAAATAAAGTAGAACGGAGAAAACATCCAAACACATACCTTGTAGTAAAGGTTAAGTGTACTTAATGCACAAATATGAATACATATATACATGTATATACATTCAGGTATTAGGTCATGATGTTATAAGTATTTCTATTTCCTACTGTGAGTAGTAATATTAAAAGGTTGGCAGGAGTAGTATTAAAAGTTCTGCCACCGGCAGAACAGAAACATTCCTAAGTTCGGAAACTTACAAAGCAGCAGTACAATGTGAATATCAATACATATAGATTTCCTACATCCAAAAATCTAATAAATGATACTCAAGACTTTAATCAAAGATACTCAAGAAAAACTAAACCCTTAATATTCAGATTTAATTTATACAGAAAACCATACTTCCAAAGCACAAACTTGTCTCATCTTGTTATTAATAATCTTAATGTCAATAATGAGAATAAAAAAATTCAACTTACAGTTTGCTTTTTTATAGCAATAACAAAACCTAGAAAGAGATTTTGGAGAATAAAATAAAAAAAAAACTTATTTGTATACCTTTTATAAAAGAATAGCCCTTTATATCTTGAGAAAGGCGCAGCATCTTTCTCTTTTGGAACTTAGATGATACAGGAACAAATAAGTCATAAATACATTCATTGTAAATCTCAAAAAAAGAAACCCATACAGAAAATTTCGTATTATTGTCCATGTTTGAGCTAGCTTGTTCACAATCTTTCAGGGATTCTTCAAATTCTGAAATATTTAAGGAGCTTGATGAACTTCCTAACAAAAAAAGAAAAAGAAAAAAAGAGAGAAGGATAATTACAAAATTAAGCAAATGACTAAAAATGAGACAACAGAATAGATCAAGACTCCTGGACCTGTAAAACTAAGTATTCTTAATCCTTTGACTAGCAATGTCAAATATATTTTAGATCAAAACAGATGTAAATAATATCTGTATTAAGCAAAATTTGGCTGTTATCTTTCTTTTCTCTTTGAAAATATGCCAGAGGGCCTCCCTGGTGGCACAGCGGTTGAGCACTGGGTTGCGAAGCTGCCCACGGCCTCTGAGGCGCCGGTTCGATCCCCGGCTGCTCCCTGGCCACCGGAGGAGGGTCCCACATGGCGCGCAGACCTCTCCTGCCGCCCGCTGCTCCCCTCAGCACTGTACTTCGGTCCTTCTGCCTGCTCTGCTCCCCGCTCCGGCTCTGGTGAATTCTCTCACCTTCCCGCGCTTCTGACTGTACCCAGTGCTTGCATAAATAAATAAATAAATCTTAAAAAAAAATGATAAAGAAAATTAAAAAAAAAAGAAAATATGCCAGAACTCAAACTGAAATTGAATGTAAAGGACAAAGAAAAGGAAGTGGCTCTCCTGAATACAACATGAAAATTATAAGTAGTGAGAGGAATATCTACATTAAATATAAATACTTTACAAACACTAACATTTCACATTAATTATATATATATATATATTTTAAAGGTTTTCTTTATTTCTGGATTTCTCAATGCTTTTAAAAAAATATTTATTTATTTATGCATACAAGAGCTGGGGTACAGGCCAGAGATGCAGGGGGTGAGAGGATTCACTAGAGACAGAGTTGGAAGGAAAACAGAAGGACTGACTGAAATACACTGCTGAGGGGAGCAGCGGACGAGATAGGAGAGGTCTGCCTCGCCATGTAGGTTGCTCCCTGGCCGGCCAGGGATTGAACTTGTGATGCAGAGGCTGCATGCGGATTGCTTCGTAGTGTGGTGCCTAACCCCTTGCACCACTAGGGAGCCTCTTACATTAATTATATTTTTTAAACACCATGTCACTAACGAAATCAAAACACTAGGAGTGATTAAAAATCAAAAGTATTTGAAATATATTTCACATAATCAATACTTTAAAGGTGCGAAAGAAAACCTTACCACAAAGAGTATCGTAACTGTCATTATACATAACCACCTAAAAAAAGAAACATTGAAACAAAGTTAAAAACCACTTTTAGTTAAGGTTAAATAGCTAGTATATTAATTACTTACCCATATCAGTCACCAACCAAATCACAACTTTAATTTATTCAATTCGGTGACCTTGCCTATTATTATTTTTTTATAATTAAAAGTGCACTCCTAGGGCCTCCCCGGTGGCGCAGCAGTTGAGCGCTGGGTTACGAAGCTGCCAGCGGCCTCTGCGGCACCAGTTCGATCCCCAGCTGCTCCCCGGCCACCAGAGGAGGGTCCCACATGGCACGCAGACCTCTCCTGCCGCCCGCTGCTCCCCTCAGCAGTGTACTTCGGTCCTTCTGCCTGCTCTGCTCCCCGCTCTGGCTCTGGTGAATTCTCTCACTCTCCTGCGCTTCTGACTGTACCCAGTGCTTGTATAAATAAATAAATAAATAAGTCAATCTTAGGGGGAAAAAAAAAAAGTACTTATAATAGAAAATTTGGGACACTACAGAGTATTAAAAGATCATATGAAATCCCAGCCATTCAGAGGCAATAATGATTAATATTTCAGCATATTCTTTTCCCCATTTATTACATTTTATATATTTTTTCTATATAAACTTGTTTTATAATCACTTAATGACAGCCTAACTGAACAGATGTGATATCACTTGATTATTCCTCTATTATTATTATTTATTTACAAAATGCTGTCAACAAAAGTACTACTAAAACAAACATCTTATTTTTTTTTTCTTCTATATCCTATTCATTTCCTTAGGATAAAAACCTAACTCTGAATTGGTAGATGAAAACAAAAGCAAAAAAACTGAAGTTCTTACTCTTAATATTGTACTGCCAAATTGCTCTCTAGGAACATATTTTACAATTGATGAAAATACTCATCTCACTTTTAAAAAAGGATCTTATCAATTTCATAGGCAAAAAAATATCTTGTGTTAAGTAGATAACTTGTTAGGGAATTTTTTTTCATTATTAATGATTTCCTCCATGAATTAAATATGCAATTATTCTCCAAACCTTCAAAATTTTTTTTAAAATAGCCACTATTTTAGAGACCATAATCATGGGCTCTGAACCTTCAACTCTACTAAACATTAGCTTTTATTACCTTAAAACCCTGACTTCAAATGTCTTAATAAAAGAAAAACCTCAATATTTTGAAGATATTTATTAAAAATATTAACAAATTATGTCTGAAAGCAAATGAATGTCTAAAAGTAACACAAAATTCATAAGGCACAGGAAGAATAAATAGACTTTACAGAACATTTTTTCATGGAAAAATAATTAAAAAAAGAGAAGAGGGAAATACATAACAGTAGATTACAGACAAGAAAATTAAAGCAGTCAGAGACTTAAGATATTTTAAAAGAGCAAGTAACAAAACATGTATAGTAAAATCTAATTTTGCTTTAAAAAACTATATTCTACATATAAAGAAAAAATGTATAGCTATGTGCAACTATATATAATTATGTGTGTATATATGCAAACATATGGAAAGTTCTTTATATATAGATTTTACATATAGAGATCAAAAAGGATACATTCCAATATGGTACTAGTATTTTTTTTTTAAAAGATTTATTTTTTATTTATACAAGAACCGGAGTACGGGCCAGATGTGAGGGAGGGCGAGAAGATTCACCAGAGACAGAGTGGGGAACAGAACAGGCAGACTGACTGAAATACACTGCTGAGGGGCGCAGCGGGTGAGACAGGAGAGGTCTGCCATGGGACCTTCGCCAGCAGGCCGGGATCGAACCGGAGCTGGAGAGGCTGTGTACAGCTTCACAGCGCTGTGCTCAACCGCCTGCACCACCAGGGGAGGCCCAGTACCAGTACTTTTTTCTTTGGGAATGGGAATACCAGAAATTTTCAATTTTTACTTTTCATAGTCCCTTGTTTAGATTTTGTGTATACATACTACTTTTTTTTTAATAATTTAATTTAATTTTATATATACTTTACATTGTTCTTCCTTTTTGTATGATGCAGGTTTTCTCCTTTCAGGTGTAGTTCCCACTAAATTCCTATCACCAATTCACCTGTGCACAATAGTCCCTTGTTTACGAAAATTCTCTCACCTATTTTGATCCCTCTCCTTTCTCCTCCCCTGAAGAGTGTCTGTGATTAACAGTTACCTGTTAATTTTCTTTTTTAATTTATTATAATTATTTTTTTCCTGGTCCCTTATTTAGTTCCCCTACATATTAGTTCTAAAATTAAAAAAAGAATTTTTAAAAACCATTACATACAAACTACAACTTTCTTTGTACAACAACAACAAAAAAAATCAGGACCCTTTTGCTTTAACCATTTCTGCTATTTGTACAATATAGAGAAAAGATGACTTCACATAGCTTTTAATACTTTTCTCAAAAAGAAAAGAACCCTTATTACCACAAAACATACCAACACAGGCTGCAATAAATGAAAGAGCTCATAAAGGTCAAAATATATCTATATCTATATATATACACACATACACACACTCACACACACTCTAAAATACCTCTTTAATTTGCCGAAGCAAAGCACTTTTGTTAGCAACTTCTTCTTTCTCTTGGTCTGGTGATAACCGTAAGTATTCTCTGGATCTATGTGGTTTAAGGTTCATCTTCGTATATAGTCTATCCCGAAAACTATCAAATATTATGTTCAAAGTTCGAGGCAGAACGCCAATATTTTCTTCTGTGCCTGAGAAAAGAATTTTTGTTTTATACTCTGAGTATTAGGAAAGATGAACTATCCCTGGACTAACCAAGCCATCTTTTATACCACCAAAAGGTAAACACCTAAGACAAAAGTGAGAGAAGTTAAAGGAATACTCACTTTTCCATCATGTTGGTCTGCATGTTACCACTGACATTTTATCAACTATTATTCTAATGCAAAACCTGAAATTTTACACTCAGACCAGGCCATAGGATATGCATTTACCCATAATCACAAATTAAAAAAGGAAAATGAGGGCCTCCCCGGTGGCACAGTGGTTGAGCGCTGGGTTGCGAAGCTGCCCGTGGCCTCTGCGGCACCGGTTCGATCCCCGGCTGCTCCCCGGCCACCAGAGGAGGGTCCCACATGGCGCGCAGACCTCTCCTGCCGCCCGCTGCTCCCCTCAGCAGTGTACTTCTGTCCTTCTGCCTGCTCTGCTCCCTACTCTGGCTCTGGTGAATTCTCTCACCCTCCTGCGCTTCTGACTGTACCCAGTGCTTGTATAAACGAACAAACAAATAAATTAATAAATAAATAAATCATGCCTCTATTTAAAAAAAAAAAAAAAAGGAAAATGAAATAAAGTGTTTCCCTGGTTATCCATACTTAATACACTATGTCATATCAATCATTTTTCTAAATTTTTATCATTTATTTCTGTCAGATGGGTAGTCTCATAAATGAATTAAACCAATCTGATTTAAAAGCCATTGGCAGAAAATACTTATTATTAAATTGTGCAGTAAAAATAGTAAGTAATAGAAACATAACTACATGCAACTATTATACAAGTGACTAAATGTCACAGTGCTTTTTCCTTTCCAGAAAAAATAAAGCAACTTACCTTGAAATGTATATGTCTTTCCTGAGTTGGTCAGCCCATATGTAAAAATCAGCCGACTCTGTCCTTTTAAGAGGTCTTTTATAGGCTGTCTAACGCAACCTTGGAAGAATTCCCTCTGTGTAGTTTCTGGGCCAAAAACCTAAATAGGCATTTTAAAAACAAATCTTTTTAGAAAATTCAAGTTCATACAATGAATTCTACCCTCTTATGGTTTAAACTAAAAAATATTTGTTTTATAAGATTCAATTTTGGGCCTCCCTGGTGGCACAAAGGGTTAAGTCTCAGCACTATTAAGCTATCAGCAGCCACTGTAGCACTAGTTCAATCCCCAGCCAGAGAGCTAACCCACATGGCACAGCAGACCTCTCCTGTCTCGCCCGCTGCTCCCCTCAGCAGTGTATTTCAGTCATTATGCCCATTCTGCTACCCACTCTGTCTCTGGTGAAATCTCACCTGTCCTATACCTCTGGCCTACACCCCAGCTCTTGTATGCATAAATAAATAAATCTTAAAAAAAAAATGCATTGTACAAAAAGGAAGAATGATGTAAAATATATATAAAATTAAATTATAAAAATATTCTTTTTTTAATTATAGAAGTAATATGTAGGGGAACAAAATTATTAGTGATTATTCACTAACAATTATACATTAAAAGGCTTAAAATTTGAGCCCTATGCTTGAGGAAAATATACCAGTGCCTTATCCTCCTAGTTCCATAAGCACAAGATATACATACATATCTACATATACATGTTCATCATATATGATCATGCAGCAATTTAGCCTAAACTAAGTCTCTTTTTCTCAAAAGGGAAAAAAAACTCATTCAGTTATATTTTCCGAAGTATTTACCTTAGAAAAACTGAATTTCTGTGCCATCTGCCCAGAGTTTTTCTCACTTATTCGACCAAGAATGCTTTGAGGATCTTTCAACAGCACAGTTTGTGAGTCCAGAATACACACACAGCCCTAGAACACATACATTAGTAAAAATAAACACATAATAAGTAAATTAAAAAACAATGGCATTTTGCCCACAAAATGTAAAAGGTAAAATATTAAAGCCCAATTAAATTCAACACAAACCTCAGGATCATGTTCCTTTTCTGATTGTGTGAAGGGTCTTATTCGAAGACAAACCTGGAGATAATCTTTGGATTCCAAATTGTTTGCCTTAAAAAGGAGAAAAAAATAATTGTACTTTGGGGCCTCCCTGGTGGTGCAGCGGTTGAGTGCTGGGCTGCGAAGCCGCCCGCAGTCTCTGCAGCACAGGTCCGATCCCCGGCCCTCGGCAAGGGTCCCACATGGCGCGCAGACCTCTCCTCCAGCGCCCACTGCTCCCCTCAGCAGTGTACTTAAGGGTCCCACATGGCTCGCAGACCTCTCCTGCAGCGCCCGCTGCTCCCCTCAGCAGTGTACTTCATCAGTCTGCCTGTTCTGCTCCCCGCTCTGACTCTGGTGGATTCTCTCACCCTCCCGTGCTTCTGACTGTACCCAGTGCTTGTATAAATAAATAAATAAATCTTTAAAAAAAAAAAATGTACTTAAAAAAAACAGAATAGGGCTTTTCCAGACTGTAGATCTGAGAGACTCAGGAGGGGAGGTGAAAGGGAAACACAGAGGGGTTGGGGGAAGAGGAGGAGAGTTGGTGAATGACTGTGGGCACTTTGGTGGTGGGAAACCTATCAGAAAGGGGAGGTTTTGGTGGTGACCACACCGGAGAGGAAAAATCCTATATTGCAGAAAAAATAAACAAGGATGTTAAAAAAAAAAGGTTTTCACCAATCATCTTTTTTTTAATTAACTAATTATTGCACGACAATATCAGATTATAGAGAATCTCGAAGCAGTGATTCTTTTGTTTTTAACCACTTTATTTTTAAAGAAAAACATATCTATTAAAAAATAACAAAATAGATGGGCCTCCCCGGTGGCGCAGCGGTTGAGCGCTGGGTTGCGAAGCTGCCCGCGGCCTCTGCGGCGCCGGTTCGATCCCCGGCTGCTCCCCGGCCACCTGAGGAGGGTCCCACATGGTGCTCAGACCTCTCCTGCCGCCCGCTGCTCCCCTCAGCAGTGTGCTTCGGTCTTTCTGCCTGCTCTGCTCCCCGCTCTGGCTCTGGTGAATTCTCTCACCCTCCCGCTTCTGACTGTACCCAGTGCATGTATAAACAAAAAACAAACAAACAAATAAATAAATAAAATAAACATGCCTCTATTAAAATTAAAAAAAAAAAAAAAAAAAAAAACAAAATAGGGCCTCCCCAGTGGCGCAGCGGTTGAGTGCTGGGTTGCGAAGCTGCCATCAGCCTCTGCAGCACCGGTTTGATCCCCAGCCACCGGCAAGGGTCCAACATGGCACGCAGACCTCTCCTGCCACCCGCTGTTCTCCTCAGCAGTGTACTTCGTCAATCTGCCTTCTGCTCTCCCCTCTGGCTCTGGATATTTCAAAAGTTTTGTAAAGAAAGAGAGAGAAGGCAGCAGAGACCTTACTCAAAGAAACTGGCTAAAAACTCCCCTAATCTAAGAAAAGAATTAACCATGAATATATAGGAAGTCAAAACAACACCCAAATTTCTAAATGAAAAATGACCACACCAGGGCCTCCCCGGTGGCGCAGCGGTTGAGCGCTGGGTTGCGAAGCTGCCGGCGACCTCTGTGGCGCCGTTCGATCCCCGGCTGCTCCCCGGCCACCGGAGGAGGGTCCCACATGGCGCGCAGACCTCTCCTGCCGCCCGCTGCTCCCCTCAGCAGTGTACTTCGGTCCTTCTGCCTGCTCTGCTCCCTGCTCTGGCTCTGGTGAATTCTCTCACCCTCCCGCGCTTCTGACTGTACCCAGTGCATGTATAAACAAAGAAACAAACAAATAAAAAAAAAAAACCAAAAAAAAACATGCCTCTATAAAAAAAAAAAAGAATCTTAAAAAAAAAAAAGAAAAATGACCACACCAACAAAGACACATCATTGTTAAATATCAAAAGTCAACAATGAAGAAAAAAAATTAAGGGATGCTAGGGAAAAAACCTCGGTCAATTTTTCATCAGACTTCTCAGCAGACACCCTTCAAGGTATCTAAAAAGGAGTGGAATAACATATTTACAACTCTAAAAAATAAAAACTGCCAGCCAGAAATTATCTTACAAAATTATCATTCATATATGAGAAGGAATAAAAGCTTTCCCAGAAAAACAAAAGCTAATGGAGTTTACCATGACTAGACCTACCCTACAAAAAATGCTCAGCAAAGGAACAAAAAATTCTGAGCAAGATGATAAACAGTAATACAGAATCAGAAGCATAAACAAGAATAATAGGAGAAAACAACAAAACAAATGGGAAAGACAGACTCTATATGTACTCAAATGATGATGAGTCAATATCAGTACAAAAAAGCATTTTAGATAGACAAAGTTAAATATAACCTTCATGGTAACCATAAAACAAAAACCTGGAATAGACACACTTAAGAAATCAAAAAAATGAGAAAACCATAGGGAAAGCCATACAAATGATAAGGCAGAAATACATTAAAAAACAACAATAGAAAGATAAAACAAAACTCCAAAAGACAGAATGGCACTAAGTAAATCTCATATATCAGCAATCACCTTAAACTTTAATGGTCTGAACTCACCAATTAAAAGACATATAATGATAGGTTGAATTAAAAAAAAAATCATTCATTTACATTATGCTATAAGAGTTTCACATCAGATGTAAAGATATAGACTAGGGCCTCCCCGGTGGCACAGTGGGTTGAGCGCTGCGCTGTGAAGCTGTCCACAACCTTTGTAGCGCTGGTTCGATTCCCGGCTGGCCAGGGAAAAACCCACATGGCACGGCAGACCTCTCCTGCCTCGCCTGCTGCTCCCCTCAGCAGTGATTTGGTCCATCTGCCTGTTCTGCTCCCCACTCTGTCTCTGGTGAATTCTCTCACCCTCCGGTGCCTCTGACCTGTATCCCAGGTTCTTGTATAAGTTTAAATTAATTAGCTTAATTAGTGACAAAGACCGGTAGAATATAAATATCAAGGGGACAATCATCAAAAAATGTAACTGTCATCAAAAGTTATGTACCCAGCAACAGTTGTATGCAAACACATAAAACAACTGTTAACAACCCTAACACAACACAACAACAGCGACACAATAATAGTAGGGGATCTCAATATAACACTTACATCACTGAATAGATAATCCAGACAGGAAATAAACAAGAAAATAATGGCCTTAAATGAAAAAGTGGAAAAGACTTAATAGACATATACAAAGGAAATAAAAACAAAACAAAGCAAAAGAAAAAAGAAATGAATACACATGCTTCTCAAGTGCAGGCTAGATCATATGCAGGGACACAAAACAAGCCTCAAAATGCCTGTGAAAGTCAAAATTATATCAAACATGTTTTGTTTTGTTAGCCAAAATAGTATAAAGCTAGAAATCAATCATAATAAGAAAAGAGGGAAAAATCTCTAAACCTGTGGAAACTAAGCAAATTGCTCCCAGATAAACAAAAAAATCAAAGGAGAAATAATAAAGTATCTGGAGATAAGCAAATATAGACAATATAGACAATCAAATATAGACAATCTACCAGATCCCATGGGATGCAGCAAAAGTTATATTCGTAATATTACTTCCATCTTAGGAAAATATGTAACACCACAGGTTCACATCAATAAACAAGGAAAGTCTTAAATAAACCATCTAACTTTACAGCTGAAGGAACTAGAAAAATAAGAACACACAATGTAAAAAATCTGGAAATAAACAAGGAAGGAAATAAAACAAGGAAATAAACAAGAAGGAAATAAAAATTAGAATGAAAGTAAATGAAATACAAAACAAAGAGAAAGAAAAAAGATCAATGAAACCAGGGCCGCCTAAGTGGTGCAGCTGGTTGAGCGCAGTGTTGTAAAGCTGTCCGCAGCCTCTGCAGCACTGGTTCAATTCCCAGCCGGCCAGGGAAAATCACACATGGCGAGGCAGACCTCGCCTGTCTTACCCACTGCTCCTCTCAGCAGTGCTTTCGGTCTGTCTGCCTATTCTGCTCCCCGTTCTGTCTCTGGTGAATCCTCTCACCCTCCTGCGACTCTGGCCTGTGCCCCAGCTCTTGTATAAATAAAATAAATGTTGAAAAAAAAAAAAATCAATGAAACCAAGAGCTGGTTCTCTGAAAGGATAAACCAAAATGATAAACTCTTAGTAAGGCTCACAAAGAAAAAACACAAATAAAAAGACTCAGCAACGAAAGAGGCAAAATTATAACAGCCAGAGAAATACAAAGAATCACAAAATACTATTATATGCATATATTTACAAAAAAACCCCCACAGTTAACATTATACTTAACGGTGAAAGAGCAAATCTAAGATGAGTAGCGAGAGGAGTAACAAGACAGGGATTTTTGCTCTCACTCTATTTATACTGGACCACAAGTTCTAGTTAATATAACCAGGCAGAGAGTAAGTACGAAAGAAAAGGCATCTGAATTAAGAGGAAAAAATAAAGTTATCTTTATTCACAGACAACTGAACATCTGTATACAAAAATCAGACAGAACAGGTTACTGGAATTATTAAATGAATTTAGCTATGAAGCCTGATACAAAATTAATACGTAAAATCAGTTGTTTTTCTATATATTAGAAGGGCACAGTCAAAAATTGATTTTCAAAACCAATACCATTTACAATAGATAAAAAACTATGAAATACAGATTAAATATGACAAAAGATGTGAAAGACCTATACACTGAAAACTAGAAAACATTACTCAGAGAAAATAAAGGACATCAAAAGAAATGGAGATTCACATTGTTCATCATTTGTTAGACTCAATATTATTAAGATAGCAGTTCTTCCAAACTGATGCATATTCTATGCAATTATAATCAAAATCCCCTTATTTTTTGGGTAGAAAATAACAAGCTCATAAATTAACATAGAATGAAAAGTGCCTAGAAGAGTCAAAACAACTTTGAAAAAGAAGAGATTTGGTGGGCTAATACTATTGATTTCAAGAGGTACTTTAAAGCTACAGTAAACAAAAACAGTGGGATATTGGCAGGATAAATAGAACAATGAAACAGAATATACAGAAATGAGCCCCCACAAAAAGGGGGGCTTTGTCTTACACAGGTGCAAGGAGATGCAGGAGGTGGAATAGTTTTTTAAACAACTTATAGTAGAACAATTGGATATCTATATGTAACAATAAAAAAGTAATTTGGATAGAAACTTCACATTGTATATAAGAATTAATGAATCATAGACCTATATGCAAATGTAAAAACCACATAACTTTAAATGAAAGCGTGGAAGAAAATCTCTGTGGTCTTGAGTCGGGCAAAGATTTCTTTGTTATGACACCAAAATAACATTCTACAATAGAACAAACGGATACAATGGACTTCATGGAGACATTAAAAAACTTATGCTCTCATGGCCAAGAGGTATATGAAAAAATGTTCAACATCACTTGTTATCAGGGAAATGCAAATCAAAACCACAATGAGATACCATCTTAACACCAGTGAGAAGGGCACATATCAAAAAAACTAGCAACAACAAATGTTGGTGAGGATGTGGAGAAAAAGGAACTCTCCTGCACTGCTGGTGGGAGTGCAGACTGGTCCAACCACTATAGAAAGCTGTATAGAGGTTCCTCAATCTGCTAAAAATGGAGCTTCCATATGATCCAGCAATTCCACTCCTGGGTATTTACCCAAAGGACACAAAAACATTAATTCAAAAGGACACCTGCACACCTATGTTTACTACAGCACTACTTACAATAGGTAAGCTATGGGAACAACCCAAATGCCCAATAGATGACTGGATCAAGAAGATGTGGTATATATACACAATGGAATATTACTCAGCAATCAAAAAAGATAAACTCATGCCATCTGCAGCAACATGGATGGAACTGGAAGGGATCATGCTCAGAGAAATAAGCCAGAAAGAAAAAGAAAAATACCGGATGGTCTCACTTATAGCATGAATGTAGAGGATCCAAATAAGGGATTAGGGGGAAAAAAACAATTATGATAAAGTAAAAATCAAAATCAACAGGCAACTATAAACCAGAGACATACTGCAGGGAGGGAGAAGGGAGTAGGATCAAAACAAGGGTGGGAAGAGCACAAGGGACTATGGTGATGGTACACGGGTGAATGGGTGATGGGAATTTCACAGAGACTATTATCAAGATGAAAATGCATACATTGTACAAAAATGAAAAATGATGTAAAAAATACATAAAAGAAAAGAAAAACCATATGAAGACACACACACACGGAGAACACCACATAAAGAATGGCGTGCCACAAGTCATGGGAAAAAAAAAAACAAAACAAACTTATGCTCTTCAAAATGAATGAAGAGAAATCAGACTGTTAGAAAATATCTGCGAAGAATTTTTGATAAATATGTTTCTGAGCAATATAAAGAATACTTCAAATTCACTAAGAAAACAAACTGAAAATTTTAAATGGGCAAAAGACTTAAATAGAAACTTCACTGAAGACACACAAATGACAAATAAGGACGTGAAAATACATTCAACATTTTTAGTCATCAGGTAAATGTAAATACCATTTGGATACCAACACAATCTTATTAGAAAGACTAAAAATAAAAAGACTATCCAACATAAAATTGTGAGAGGACTGACACTACCTGACTTCAAGATACACTGTAAAGCTAATAGTAATCAACAATGTGGTATTGGCAAAAGAACAAAATCATCAATGGAACAGAACAAAGTCCTGAAATAGCTCCCTAAGACTACAGTCAGATGATCTGTGTCAGAGAAGGAAAAGAAGACAATGGAGTAACAACAGTTTTCTCAACAAATGGTGCTGAAATAGTGGACATTCACATGCAAAAAGATTAATCTAGGGCCTCCCCTGGTGACTCAGCGGTTGAGTGCTAGGCTGTGGGCTGTGAAGCTGCCCGAAGCCTCTGCTGTGCCTGTTCGATCCCTGGCCACCAGCAAGGGTCCCACATGACGGGCAGACCTCTCCTGCCATGCCCGCTGCTCCCCTCAGCAGTGTATTTCATCAGTCTGCCTGTTCTGTTCCCCGCTCTGGCTCTGGTGAATACTCTCACCCTCCTGCGCATCTGACTGTACCCAGTGCTTGTATAAATAAATAAATAAATAAATAAATAAATCTTTAAAAAAAAAAATTAATCCGGACAGACTCCTCACAAAAATTACCTCAAAATGGATAAACTGGTACATTCAGAGAGTGGAATAATTTTTATCACTTAGAAGAAATATGTTATCAAGCCTCTGAAAGACATGGAGGAATCTTAAGCACCTATGAGACTAAGTGAAAGGAGCCAATGTGAAAAGGCTATGATCTACATGATTCCAAACATATCACATTTTAGAAAAGGCAAAGCTAGAGAGACAGTTGAAAGATGAGTGATTGGTGGGGGTAAAAGGATAAACAGGTGGAGCACAGATTTTCTGGGTAGTGAAAAATACTCTGTATACATGTCATAGTGTTTGTTCAAACCCATACAATGTACAACACTAAGAGTGAACCCTATTATACATTATGGACTCTGGGTTATAACAACACATCAATATGGGTTCATCAATTCTAACAAATGTATCACTCTGATGGGGAATGTGGATAATAGGGGAGGCCTCACGTGTGAAAGTACGTGTGAAATCCTACACTTTCTCAATTTTGCTGTGAACATAGAACTGCTCTAAAACAGTTTATGACTAGCTCAAGTATTGAAGATCTCATACATTGCTGCTGGGAATATAAAATGCTATTATCATTTTGGAAAAGTTTGATAGTTTCTTAAAAAAGACCTATTTGAGACAAGGAGAATCCTGGGACCAGGACAGGACTCAAGGACAAAACTTTGCTGTGGTATAACAGTCCCGAGGAATCTAGGCCTGAACACCAGCTGCCATAAATTTCCTTGGGTCATTCTTCTTATTACTAATTTTTCCCTAGTCTGAGCATTTCTGAGTCATCTCTTTATAACTTATCAAGTTAGCTACTATGGAAGAAAAGTTACAGACCTTGAGACCAGTTCAAAACGAAGCTGAAGGCACACAGCCTCTGTGAGATAGACACCATGGAGGTGGTCATCTGTCCTGCATGACTGCTGAGCTGAAGCTGATTAAAACCCACAATCAGCAGTGATGAATGGACTAGAGCCACATCCACTGTCCTTGTTTTCTCAGTCAGTAAAGGTTAATTCCTTTGTTCTCAGCCCCATTCCTAAATCCTAAATAGATCCCTACTTTAGGCACCTTAAAACATCTCTCATGCCCAGAGAGGTCTCCCGGAAGTGCTCTTTCCTTGCTCTTTTGACAATAAATGCTGACTCCTGCTTGCCCTCACTGGTGTCTACGGGCTCCTCTTTTCACTCTCGACCAGAGGGTCTCAAGAGCCCTTTCCCAGGTTTGGGAGCAAATGCTGGTTATAAATATTATTCTTTTATGTAGGTTTCCAATCCCATGTTCTCTTCCATCATTCTTTTTTTTTTTTTTTTTTAAGATTTATTTATTCATACAAGCACTGGGGTACAGTCACAAGCGCGGGAGGGTGAGAGAATTCACCAGAGCCAGAGCGGGGAGCAGAGCAGGCAGAAGGACCGAAGCACACTGCTGAGGGGAGCAGCAGGCGGCAGGAGAAGTCTGCACACCATGTGGGACCCTCCCCGGTGGCCGGGGAGCAGCCGGGAATCAAACCAGTGCTGCAGAGGCTGCGGGCAGCTTCACAACCCAGCACTCAACCGCTGCGCCACTGGGGAGGCCCTCTTCCATCATTCTTTACAAAGTAGATTTATCCCTCTAAGACATCAAAACTAATATTGATGAACTAAAAAGTAAATGTATAAGAAAAAATCTAAAAGACACCTAACAGTATAGTGGCGGTAGACAGGGTGGTGGAAGGACTTTTACTTCTTAAACATGACTGAGTTATCTTAATTTTTGAAAATTTATTAGTTTTTAAACTAAGGCTGCAAAATCCAAGAGTTATAATGGAGTAGTCTACATTTTCAAGGTAAACACAGCAGTACTTGATATATGTTCAACACCATTAACTTTTAGCTCCAAGTAGTTCATAGTTTCAACATTAGGTCACATTATTTCTTCTTCTTTTTTTTAATATTTATTTATTTATTTATACTAGCACTGGGTACAGTCAGAAGTGCGGGAGGTTGAGAGAATTCACCAGAGCCAGAGCAGGGAGCAGAAAAGACAGACCGATGAAATACACTGCTGAGGGGAGCAGCGCGCAGGAGAGGTCTGCTCACCCGGTGGCCAGCGATCAAACCGGCACTGCAGAGGCTGCGGGCAGCTTTGCAACTCAGCAATCAACTGCTGCGCCACCGGGGAGGCCCAGTCACATCATTTCTTTTGATGATGTTGTATCTTTGTAAAGTTGCATTTTTCTGTGGTTACTGTGTTAAGAAAGTACTACACTGAAAACAATGAGAAACAGGAAATAAGGATGGCAATGTCTAATCTGATCCTAAAGCTTAAGAACTTATGCAGTGTCCAAAAGGCACACATATTCCATTAGCAGCTATACTTATTGAAGAACAAAATTTTAAACTTATTTTTTCTTTTAAGTAAAATTTTCCCCCACATGACTACTAAGTTAGGGCACAAATAGTTGTTTGGACCTACTACTTGAAAAGGGACAGTTATGTATTCAGGGAGCCAAGAAAAGACAGACGGTTGCCTTAAACCCAGTGTGACAAACGCTGTATGTATCTACAAGTACACATTTCTACTCAGTCATGAAAATTAACAAACTTATCTTGTACTTACCTCAGTGTTTGAAGCAACTAAAGAAAACTCACGAGAGAGATCAAGCTTAACGCCATCAAAATTTATTTCCAAAGGCCTTGCAATTGGGTCAGCACTAAAAACGTAAGATGGTCTAGGCACCCCATCCTGATTTAAATTAGACTCCATTCTGCAAGAATAATAGCAACTTCTTTAGAAATATAATAAATCAGCATATAAGTCACCTACAGTTTAAAAAGTCTGAGTCTAGCCCATTACTTCCCACCATATACAATAACCAGATTTCCAGAGGGGGGAAATACCAGTAGACTGCTTCATTTGTAATTTGATGATCCATGGAAAGGACAAAATATTAAATTATTTAAAGAATCTGAATTAAATGTTGACTATAGTCTACTACCACTGCTCATATGACCTAACCTATGGGTACATTCATCCAGGATTTTCATGAGTAAAGACAATCTGTAGATACAGACAGTAGAAAACATAGATCTGTTTGAAATAAAATAGCAAAGAAATTGGGGAGTAAATTAGAAGCTTGTATTATTTTACTTATTTCATGTTTCTGAAGAATATTACTTATTGGGCCTCCCCGGTGGCGCAGCGGTTGAGCGCTGGGTTGCGAAGCTGCCCGCGCCCGAGGAGCCGGTTCGATCCCCGGCTGCTCCCCGGCCACCGGAGGAGGGTCCCACATTGGCGCGCAGACCTCTCCTGCCGCCCGCTGCTCCCCTCAGCAGTGTACTTCGGTCCTTCTGCCTGCTCTGCTCCCCGCTCTGGCTCTGGTGAATTCTCTCACCCTCCCGTGCTTCTGACTGTACCCAGTGCATGTATAAAACAAACAAACAAACAAATAAATAAATAAAGCATGCCTCTATTAAAAAAAAAAAAGAATATTACTTATTTTGTATGCAATATTTTAGCATTTAATAATTAAACTCAATTGTATAAATGATGACTTTCAACTGGTTTCTTCCAAACTATCACAATACAGTACCTGACACACTGAAGGTTTTAAACTAAGGTGAATACAGAATATTGCAATGAAATATTACAACTGAATTAAATATCAGGCCATCAAACTTAAAGGAAAACTTAGGGGTAACCTTAACTGAAAAAATACTAACATTCAAATAATTTACAAGCATCTACCAGGTGGATAGTATCAGGGAAAAAGAGGACGCTGCTGTTTTTTGACAAAATCATAAAATGCTCATATCAATGACCCCTACACCGGGCTCAGTAAGATAGTAATGGGCATCCACAGGTGATATATAAATGAGTCAAAGATGCATTCTACGTTGGTAAGCATGTTACCTTATTTTAAAACAAAAATGAACCTGAATGTGATCACCATAAGGGCTAAAAACAAGCTAACTTATAAGGCATGAACTTGAGTCAACCAATCCTTCAGCAAGACATTATAAATATTACAGAATTGTGTAAGGCAGGAATTGCTGAACCGGGAGTAAAACGAGAGGGCGCGGGGGGTGGGGGTGCACCTCCTAAACTATGACAGCAATTACTGCAGTCCTGCCACCCCCAATCCCATTCCGCTTGGCACCGTGAAGTCCAAGAAGGGCATTACTACCTTCCTGAGCCAGTCACTGGCAGCGGCCTGTAAATAAAAGCACAGATGGCCCGAACAGGGGTCCCCTTCCCAACTGCGGGCTTGTCACCTGCGAAAACTGTTCACCTCCAAGACTCGGGAGCCTAGGTTTGACAAAAGGCCTGCACCCCAACAAAATAACAGCAGCAACAATAATAAAAACATTGCAAACACTTAGTGCTTACCATATCCCGACACTTATTTCTAAGACTTTACATAGTCATTTTATCTTTGCAAGAGCCGGAAGAGGTAGGTACTATTATTTATTATCCTCTTTTAACAGACAAGGGAACGGAGGCCCAGAGATTAAATCCGTCGCCTTGTGTCATTCGGCTAAAAGTGGTGGAGAGGTAATTTCCACCTTAACCAAGCCTCCGGCTTAACCCTGCCTCGAGCGCCGGGGGCCAGGCCAGGCGCCGCGATCGCCCCGCGACCCAGTTCCTGCGGGGACTCTCAGCAGCGTCTCAGTCCCACAGGATGGTGTTCGCAAGCCGGACTCGTTTCCCAGCCTCGGACCTGGTAAAGTGCACTGTCACCCACGTCTTTCGTCGTACCCGCACCCAAGGTACCTCCTCACCTGCGAAGGCTGCCCGGCCAGCCCGACCAGCGAGCGGCAGAGCGGCGTTGTCTTTTTCAAATTCAAACAATGGCGGCCCGGGTGCCGCATTGAACGCTGGGAGTGGGCGGAGCCTCCGCGGCGACGCTCGGGAGCCGAGCTGGCTTGAGCTGCGGGCTTCCCACCCGCTCCCGGAAGAAGCTTTCAAATCTGGGGAGGGCGGGTCTCGGATCGCCGGCGGCCAATGGGAGGAGGCGGACGGGTGGGCGGGGCGAGAACCTGGGCTTTCTTAGCTCTGGGCTGGTTAGGGTTCTCCTCGCGGCCGCGGTGTGTAGCTTTTTCGGGGGGTAGGGGGTGGGGAGTGGGGGGGGTCGTTGGCGGGCTCGGATTCTATCTGAGAAACAAAAAAGACCCAGAGCAGGCCGCAGGCCCACCACCCAGGCCTGTGACTTCCTTAGGGACGGGTCACACCTGGACAGTCGCTTGGAATAGAGCTGCCAGCACGTGGAGGATTATTGCCCTTTCTGCAAGACCCCAACCTGGTGAATTCTCTCACCCTCCCGCGCTTCTGACTGTACCCAGTGCATGTATAAACAAAACAAACAAACAAACAAACAAATAAATAAAATAAAACATGCCTCTATTAAAAAAAATTAAAAAAAAAAGATTTATTTATTTATGCATACAAGAACTGGTGTACAGGCAAATTGAAATATACTGCTGAGGGGAGTAGCGGGCGAAACAGGTGAGGTCTGCTGCACCATGTGAGTTAGCTCCCTGGCCAGCCCTGGGCATCAAACTCAATCTGCAGTGGCTGTGGATAGCTACATAATGCTGCGACTTAACCCTTTGCACCACCAATGAGCCCCTCTATCAATATTATTATCATTTTAAAATTTTTATAATGCCACCACTAACACGGTTACAGTTTGTTTTATATTTTGTTTTCAATTGTATTTATCGATATAATGTTGGTTTAAAACACTGTTATGATTTAGAGGTATAGATGTATGTTACCACACCACACCCACCACCAAAGCACCATTCTAAATGAGAGTTTATATGTATACCACTGTAGGGTAAATGAAGATTGCTCAGGCTTTTGTGCCATTGGCCTGTGGCTATCACCTGCAGTATTGAATGCAGCAGGCGCTTGGGAGCATGGACTTGGGTAATGAATGCTTGATGGTGGACACCTGGAGTACGGTGTGGGCATGTGTAAGTGGGCACACCTGAGCAGAGAGATGTAGCCTGTAAGGGCGGTGTCACAGTGGATTGTATGACAGAGGGAGTGTGGTGGAGAGCAGCTACAAGAGGAAAGACCGTATGGAGATTCACAGGGGGGCCCAAGTTGCTGTCTCCCTGCTGGCTTATTTTCCCCTTACCTGTGGGGATGATGCCATGGACTCCAAGATTCTCTTTAAAGCTGCCTGAACCTACAGTGAACCTACCTGGCCTGGAATGGTTGCAGAACAACCATGTTCGAAGTTACTGGTTAAAATGAGTTTTAAACCAACTCACTTCAATATCTGGAGTATGATTTATCTATTTTTAATAATTTTTTAATTTTCTGACAACATTGTTCATTTTTGTAAAATTTCTCCACTCAGGTGTAGTCCCCATAATTCTTCCCTCCTCTACCTCCCCACCATAGCATGCATGAACTGTCACCATAGTCCTTGTGCTCTCCTCTTGCCTATTTTAATTCCTCTCTCTAGCCATCCCCTGCTATAGGCCTCCCATCTATGGTTTGCCTGCAAATTTTATCTTTCTTCTGATCCTCTGTTAGGTTTCCCTGTATTCCCCTTATAAGTGAGGTTATCTGATATATTCTTTTTTTTTTTTTTTAATAGAGGCATGTTTTTCATTTATTTATTTATTTTGTTTGTTTGTTTGTTTTGTTTATACATGCACTGGGTACAGTCAGAAGCGCGGGAGGGTGAGAGAATTCACCAGAGCCAGAGCAGGGAGTAGAGAAGGCAGAAGGACCAAGGCACACTGCTGAGGGGAGCAGCCGGCGGCAGGAGAGGTCTGCGCGCCATGTGGGACCCTCCTCCGGTGGCCGGGGAGCAGCCGGGGATCGAACCGGCGCTGCAGCCGCGGGCAGCTTCGCAACCCAGCGCTCAACCGCTGCGCCACCTGGGAGGCCCTGATATATTCTTTTTTAAAAGAAGATTTATTTATTTATACAAGAACTGGGGTATAGGCCAGAGATGCGGGAAGGTGAGAGAATTCACCAGAGACAGAGTGGGGAGCAGAACAGGCAGACAGACTGTAGGGTAAGGTAAAAAGTATCAGGTTTTTCTGCCCTCCCGCCATTAGGATAGATGACAGTACCCTGTGGTCCTGAATGCATGCCTGATGGCGGGCACCTGGAGTAGGGTGTGGGCATAGGTAGATGGGATTCTCCTGGGCTAAGACTGGGCTTTTAAGGATGGCGTCATCATGGGGACGCTGGTAGAAGCAGAGAACCGAGAGAAGAAGAGAAGCAAAGAGAACGCCAGAGAGCCCAGATAGAGTGAGGATTTGCTGGGGCCTGGGAGGACTGCCAGCCTCCTGGCCCCCCAGCACCCCTGCCTGCCATTTGCGTGGTAAATCTAAATAAAAGACTTGCAGGGGCCTCCCCGGTGGCGCAGTGGTTGAGCGCTGGGTTGCGAAGCTGCCCACAGCCTCTGCAGCGCCGGTTCGATCCCCGGCCTCCAAGCGAGGGTCCCACATGGCGCGAAGACCTCTCCTTACCGCCCGCTGCTCCCCTCAGCAGTGTACTTCATCAGTCTGCCTGCTCTGCTCTCCCCTCTGGCTCTGGTGAATTCTCTCACCCTCTCGCGCTTCTGACTGTACCCAGTGCTTATATAAATAAATAAATAAAATCATTAAAAAAAAAAAAAGACCTGCAAAAGCCACTGAGGACTCTGACTCCTCCTTTACCCAGTCTGCATGGGATCATAGAAAACCTGCTCAGTGTCCAGTTCCTGCCTCAACACGGACTGAAGGCACTGCTGAGGGGAGCAGTGGGCGAGACAGGAGAGGTCTACTTCGCCATGTGGGTTAACTCCCTGGCCTGCTGGGGATTGAACCGTCACTGCAGAGGCTGCAGACAGCTTCACAGCACTGCGCTCAACCTGCTGCACCACTGGGGAGGCCCCTATCTGATATATTCTTAACAATAAAATGTGGGTCAAGGTCTTTTTGACGATGAGTAAGTCGACCTATGGAGCCTGGCACGATGGTGGCAGATTTAAGACTCCAAGCTTGCATCTGGATGAATCTAGGTGCCGCATTACAAAGTCAAACTGCCCTGAATGAAAAACAAATGAGCACAGCACAAACTAGGAGTAACGTACCACAAACTAGGAGTAACGTACCAGTCAAAGTGGCAGGAGAAACTGTAACTGTGTTCATAGTGATACTGAGGGAGGCCACTGCAGTTGCAGACACAGGGGCACACACCAACATGAGGGGACCCTGAAGAGCGGCACTATGACAGGGTGGCACTATGACAGAGTTGGCTCCCAGGACAGAGGGTGTACTTTGGAGAACTGTGGGAGCAGGTAAGGATTACTGGTTTGAACAGAAGGCTTTCAGTGTAGAACAGCTGGAGCATGAACTGGTAGGGGGAAGGCTGAGTCAACTGTGTCTCCTCATAGAAGTGGTAACTACTACTCAACACTTGGGACTAGATATTCAAAACAATGCCACACACCATTTCCCCCCAACCCTCCTTCCCTCCTCCCTCTGGGTTAAAGCCAAGATAAAGAAATATTTGCATAATAAACTACAGTTTAAGCACCTGTTAACAAGGAGCACAAACACCACAGAAAAAGGCAATGGGCTGGAAAAGAAAAGAGAACAACTTCTGGAATGTGACACCATATCAGCTATAATCCGTGCCCAGTGCTGCATGGAGTGTTCAAAAATAGCCTAGAGCTGGAAGCTAACAGGAGAATAAATACAAGAAACACTTAGACTGGGGCCTCCCTGGTGGCTCAGGCGGTTGAGCGCCTCACTGTGAAGCTGTCCGCAGCCTCTGCAGTGTGGCTTCGATCCCAGCCAGCCGGTGAGAATCCCACGTGGCGTAGCAGACCTCTCCTGTCTCGCCCGCTGCTTCCCTCAGCAGTGTGTTTCATCAGTCTGCCTGTTCTGCTCCCCACTCTGTCTCTGGTGAATCCTCTCACCCTCCCGCGCATCTGGCGTGTACCCCAGTTCTTGTATAAATAAGTAAATCTTAAAAAAAAAAAAAAACACTTAGACTGAAGAGCTACCCAGAGGAGGGGATATCTTTGAATCCCACCGCACAATTCTGGTACCCACAGCCCAAGAGGAAGCTTGTAGCCCTGATGCTTCTCTGAGGTGATCCTTTGGTGCCCTGCAGCCGTGGTTCTTTGTTACCTACTACCTGTTGTGGGTAATAGTTCTCCGATTACTTCAATAGAAGCAAAGGCAACAGTCTATCCCTATTACAACCCATCAACTAAAAATATAGGGACAGACGTACATACCAAAAACACTGGAGCAAATATGATTCAAGAGGCCCAAGAAGTTCAAGGTAACAGCTATGATAACACTTGTGGAATTTAAAAAATACAAAAACAATGGAGGATATACAGCAACAGAATAAAGGCAGAAAATATTAGGTGGTAATAATTATAAGTAGTGGAGCTAAAAAATACTATGGTCAAATTAAAAAAATACAGTGGAGGGCTTAAATGCAAGCCATGGAGAGAATTAGTAGCCTCAAAGGCACAGTGTCAAAGAACACATAAATAGAACAACATACAGAAAAAACAATCAAAACCTGAAAATAGATAAGAGCCCTTTGGAATAACCTAATGAGAAACAACTGCCATATCAGGTGGTTCCAGAAAGAACAGAAAGGGAAAGACATAGAAATTTTGTTTAAAAAATAATCACTGAGGGGCCTCCCTGGTGGCGCAAGGGGTTAACATACAGCACTATGAAGCTATCTGCAGCCACTGCAGCACAAGTTTGCTCCCTGGCCAGGGAGGTGACCCACATGGTGCAGCAGACCTCTTCTGACTTGCCTGCTGCTCCCCTCAGCAGTGTATTTCAGTCAATTCACCTGTTCTATTCCCCACTCTGTCTCTGGTGAATGCTCTCACCGCCCACACCTCTGGCCTGTACCCCAGTTCTTGTATGCATAAATAAATAAATCTTTAAAAAAATAATCACTGAAAACCATATCAGATATCATCATTCAGAGGCCTAAGGAGTGCCAAACAAAATTATATCAGCCAGACACATACTAAGAGACATTATTATAAAGCTGTTGAGAGCCAGTGACAAAAACAGAACATTAAAAATAGCAAGAGATAAAAGGATAACCTATAAGGGAACATGAATCAGACTCTCAGTGGACTTTTCAGTAGAACCATTGTAAGCCTAGAGGGATTGACAGGAGATATTTATAAAGTTCTTAAAAAAAATCATTTCCAGCTTTGAATCACTTACTCAAAAACAAACTGACATGAGAAAGTGCAACAGGGTGGTCCCCAGGAAAGGGGGAGGTTCCCTGCCCCACCCAAGGGAGGGTGGAGCTGAGCAGCAAAAGAAGAAGCTGCAGAAGAGACTGAGGAAGGAAGCAGGATGGAGCCAGGAGACCTGGAGGAGGCGCATGGAGCCTAGAGACACGTGAAGAAACTGCGCTTGTCTTTTGGTCGTGGACTGGGTGACACAGATGTGGGTGAGACCCGTGGGGAGGTGACAATGGCAGCTTTTATCTTGATGTTGATTTTGCTCTTTTCCTTCCGGGCTTGTCCAGTTGTTTGTGACCCTTTTCTGTGGGTCCCCACTGGAAGATGCTTTAGACTTGTGGCGGGCTTTGGGGCCTTGTTCTGGGCCGATCCCATATGGATGGACTTTTACCCACGAGGGGACGGGTAACTTTGGGTGCTTCATTTAGAAACTAGACTCTTTGCCTTTCCTGTATTGTTTCCTAGTTTTATTAAAGTTCCTTCCCATTAAAGTCTCATATGTTTTGTGTTGATGCGGCGGATGGCAGAACCCATTTAGAATAGGCAGGTTTGCGGGGCTTGGGCTACCCCTCTCCCTGTCCTATAACAAAAGAAGTCTTAAAGGGGTTATTATAAAGCAAGAGAACAATAAATATAGAGGTAAAGGACACCAAATTACTTAACACAGAGGAGAGTGACATTGCAGCCCATCAGAACAAGCTGGAGACTAGGCCATGCTACTGGTCCACAAATGGTCCATCATATACCAGCCTCTATAGACCCTTCAAACAAAAATTTAAAAGTATAACACATAAGACAATGGAAATGGAACCTAAATAAAACATAATAGGAAGACTTAATAAAATGAAAAAAGACAAGAAAAACCAAAAACCCACAACCGCCCCCAAACCAAAAAATAACAAAATAGCAATGAGCATTTATATCTCAGTTATCACCTTACACATGAATTGTCTGAATTCATCAGTCAAAAGGTGTAGAGTGCCTGAATGGGATTTTTATTTTTTTTAATTTTTATTTATTTTTTAAAGATTTATTTATTTATGTGTACAAGAGCTGTGGTACAGGACAGAGGGTGGGTGAGAGGATTCACCAGAGACAGAGTGGGGAACCGAACAGGCAGATTGATCGAAATACACTGCTAAGGGGAGCAGTGGGCGAGTCAGGAGAGGTCTGCTTAGCCATGTGGGTTTCTCCCTGACCAGGGATCAAACTCGTGCTGAAGTGGCTGCAGATAGCTTCATAGGTTGCATCTTAACCCCTTGCACCACCAGGGAGGTTGAATGGGATTTTTAAACAAAGTCCAACCTTCTCCTATTTACAAGAAACTTATCTTACCAACAAAGATAAGCACAGGCTTAAGAATGCAAGACTGGAAGACAGTCCTATAAGCAAATGAAAAGTAAAAAAAGTACAAACACTAAAATTTAGGAACAGCTATACTTATACAGATAATGTAGACTTTCAAAGGAAAAAAGGTAGGAAGCGATCAAGATGGACATATATTCTGATTAAGGGTCTAATAAAATGAGAAGTAACATAAATATGGACCAAATGATAACACACTGAGATACATAAAAAAATTAACAGAACTAAAGAGAGGTATTGATAACAACAGAATGATACTAAGGGACCTTAAGAACCCATTTACAACAACAGACAAATCAAGAAGACAAAAAATAAGGAAACAATAGCCTTAAATGAGGAGCTAGACCAAAAAGCTTTGACTGACATCTGCAGAACACTTCACCCAAAAATTATGCACACATATAAATTTATAAATAAATTCATAATTAAATTTATTTTCTTACATCGTTGTTCATTTTTGTACAGTATTTGATTTCTCCCTTGGGTGTGTAGTTCTCACCTTCACAGCCCCAAGACCCATCACCATAGTTCCTTGTGCTCTTCCTTTCCCTTTTATGACCCCTTGTCCTCCCTCTCCCCTGCTATAGGCCTCAGATCTTGCATATTTTATGTTTTTCTGGCACTTTGTAAGGTTTCTCTAGATTCCACATACAAGTGAAACCATCTGATAGTTTTCTTTTTCTTTCTGACTTATTTCACAGCATAATCCCTGCACATGAACAAGTTCAAGAATAGCCCATTTATGGGGACACAGGTCAATCATCAATAAAACTACAAAAATGGAAATTATACCAAATGGTCTCTCTGACCATAATTCCATAAAGTTAGAAATCAAATAGAAGAAACAGGAAAAACAATGAATACTTGGAGACTTTCTTCTTACCCCTCCCCCCTGACCCCCTTTAGTTTTGTAGTCAGCAAAAACCAGTTTTTAAAAAAATATAAAATCCTATAAAGAAGGGAGGAAGCACAATGGTCTATGGTGGTGGAATATGGGTGAGTTGGTGGGGTGCACTACAATGGCAATACCTGATGGGGGTACCCCAGTAGTATCTCAATTTTAAAAAAATACAAAATTCTTCAGTATATGGTCTAATTTTTAACCCTGATGCCTAGGTCTAGCTCACTTCATCCTTTTCTATCCTCATCCTTCTCAAGTTAAGGTGCAAAATGACCTCTTTCTCTCTCCCTGTTACCTGAGGGGATGTTATATGTTGAAAGAAAATACCATTCCAGTCTTTCCCTATAACAAACAGCCCATGGGAGCTAGCAGAAGCTGAGAACTTTTAGTCTTTCTGTTTCCGTTCTTCAGGCTCTGAGACCAGAGTCAGAATAAAAACTGGGTTGAGCACAGCACTGTGAAGCTGTCCGCAGCCTCTGCAGAGCCGGTTTGATTCCCGGCTGGCTGGGGAGCAACCCACATGGCTTGGCAGACCTCTCCTGCCTCGCCCGCTGCTCCCTTCAGTAGTGTCTTCAGTCCATCTGCCTGTTCTGCTCCCCACTCTGTCTCTGGTGGATTCTCTCACCCTCCCGTGCCTCTGGCCTATACCCCAGTTCTTGTATAAA